CACAAATTACAATTTGCCTCAGAGGGTTTTACAGCATATGACATCCCTCTGTTCTTGGGACCCTCACAGTGGATAAGGAAAAACTTCCCAAAGATACCCCTTTAACAAACTTTCACTTCTAACTTAATTAAATATCATGGAATACTAAAATTGCACATTGAGGAAAGTCTAAAAAAAAAAAACGCAAAACCAAAACAGACAGAAACAGACTTTATCAAAGGGAATGTTTCAGGAATAACTTCAGTGAATTATTACAGTGGTGTCACTTCAGCTGAAATAATGTCAGACGGTGTTATACCTAGAAATAAATAAAATAAAATTAAAAAATAAACTGTTGTGATGTCTGACATTTAGTCTATATTTAACCGCACCTGAGGAACATGGCTCTGTGTGTACTGCACATGACCCAGTCAAGGGCTGGTTCAGATAATCAATAAATCAATATGTTCCCTAGTGACATGTTATTGATACACTGACACCAGGACTGGTAGGTGTTTTTTTCTCCTTTAGACCCTGGAAACAGTCCTGCTTCCTCACAGTTAAATCTAGAATGAACACCTCACGCTTGTATGCTGTCAGGTTGCAGTTGACATTCTTGTCAGTCCAGACTCACATGTAGCCATGACGGTAAATGAATATACTGTAGATGTTGCTGCAGAGAAGCTACAGATTCTAAACCCAAGATTAGTTTCACAGATTCAGTATCCAATCAAATGTTTCCCCTTCTGTGCCTGAGTTACGGCACTGTGTAATGGCCAGAGAAGTGTTTTTGCAGAACATTATGATGTCACAGTGAAGTTTTAGATGTAAAATGTCATCACTCAATCAATTCATCCTGTCAGACATTTGGCTGAAAATTCGTCATAATCGGTTTTATCAGTTCTTGAGTTATGGGCAAGATGGGTTTTTGTGACCCTTGACCTTCAACCATCCAAATTGAATCAGTCAATCCTTGAGTGTAAATGGACATTTGTGCCAAATTCAAATTCAGGAGAATAAGACAGATGTGATTTGTGCCAAATCTGAAGAAATTTCCTCAAGACGTTTTTGAGTGAGTGAGACGGATATGGGGTCACAGTGACCTTGACCTTTGACTACCAAATTCTTATCAGCTCACCCTTGAGTCCAGGTATCAGGTTTGTAAAAAATATTTGGGGAAATTCCCTCAAGGCATTGCTGGAATATTGCATTTATGAGAGTGAGCGACCAAGTCACAAGTTTTTTGTGACCCTTGATCCTCAACCCCCAAAATCTAATCAGTAAATCCTTGAGTGTAAATGGACATTTGTGCCAAATTCTCATTCAGGAGAATGAAACAGATGTGATTTGTGCCAAATTCTCATTCAGGAGAATGAAACAGATGTGATTTGTGCCAAATTTGAAGAAATTTCCTAATGCCATTCTTTAGATATTGGGTTCTCAAAAATAAGACAGATGTGGTGTCATAGTGACCTTGACCTTTGACCACCAAACTCTAATCAATTCATCCATGAGTCCAGGTAAAGGTATGTACAAAATTTAGGGAAATTTCCTCAAGGCATTCCTGGGATATCACATTCATGAGAGTGGGTCAGTCAAGGAATCAGTTCATCTTTGAGTTAAGTGGACATTTGTGCCAAATTCTCATTCAGGAGATTGAGACGCATGTGATTTGTGCCAAATTTGAAGATATTTGCTCAAAATGTTTTCTAGATATTATGTTCTCAAGAATGAGACGGATGCAGGGTCACAGTGACCTTTGACTACCAAAATCTAATCAGTTCATCCTTAAATTCAGGTGGACATCTGTGCCAAATGTGAGAAAATACTCTCAAGGCGTTGCTGAGATACAACATTCATGATGATGAGATGGACGTGAGATCAAAGTGACATTTGACCACCAAACCTTTTATCGGGTCATTGTTGACTATTAGTGGGCGTTTCTGCTAAACTTGAGGAAATTCTGTTGGGGCATTCCTGGATTATCCCCTTTACAAGACTGAGACGAACGTGAGGTCACAGTGACCTTGACCTTTGACCACCAAAATCTAAACAGTTCATCTCTGAGTCCAGGTTGACATTTATGCCAATTTGGGGAAATTCCCTCAAGACGTTCTTAAGATGTTGCATTCATGAAAATGGAATCGATTGGTGGACAACCCAAAAACATAACACCTCCAACCATGGCTGCAGCCAACATGGAGGTATAATAACATGGATTCTTTGCATTGCCAGAGCCAGACTTTAAGTTTTATTTTAGCATCACATATTTGTTTTACTAAGTATTATATCATTTAAATCCAGGATGCACCGAGAGTACGGACATGACAGAGAATGATCAGAAACCCGGATAAGAGAAAGTGTCTTGTTACTTCATAGAATATATTCAGGTTTATGAAACTAGGATATGACGTTTACATGCACAAAACATAACTGAGATACTAAAGTGCATTCAATACATTCATAGTGTTTTCTCAGTATAGATACACTGAGATATTTTTGGTCTTAATGGCTCATTTAAAGGACTTATAGTGTTTGTTGTGCACAGATGAATCTATATGTAGCTGCCATTGCCCATTGACTTGGCTTTACTCTCTAAACCAGCAGCCATGTAAAAAAAAAAAGTATATGTTTATGTATAAATATGTGCAATACAGTGTCATTTTTATTGCTAACCATCTGTAATTCTTTCTGTTTTGTCAGTACAAACTCTGCAAACAACCAGGAGCCAGTTTATTAGTGCGATATATCTCTGTTTGTTTTCCTACTTCTGCTTTAATGAACCCATTTCCCCTCGCAGATTGAATACATTTCCTCTTTTCTTATAAGTCTGCCCAACATAAATTCTTTCATAGAATATCACTGTTGCTGAATTAAGTGTCAATATTTTGTGCAGACGATGTCTGATGATGTATTTTTTTGCCAAATTGGATGTATTGTTTACATTTATCCAGTTTGGAGACAAATGCCTCGGTAATTCTGCATATGATCAATCGTACAGCTGACAATCAGGCTGCCAGTGTGTATGTTTTAGTCCTTTGTGTGCAGCAGATCGTCAGTGTGAGAAGATGTGGAGGCTTTATTGGAATTGGGGGGTTGGGAAGGTGCCGCTGCTATGATTTTATCCTCCTTTAAAGACAGAGCAGGGGGGGAAGGGGTAAAGATGGTGGTGTAGAAAGGTTGAAGAGCGGGGGGAGGCCGGCTGGATGGGTTGCATAGGTGGAGGTGGGGGTGGGGGTGGGAGGGATGGAGAGATGCAGCAGCTTTCACGGGAGAGAGACGGGTGTGTGTTTCTGTGTGTTGGGGGAGGAGGGACTCTGTCAAAGCCGATGGGGGTATATATTATGTTTTATGGTTACGAGGGGACGCATAAATCACTGTTTCATTTAACGGCTTCAGTCTCAGAGCGCTGCCCCCCTCCAACTCCCCTTCCCAGCGGGACATCCCTCTTTCTCTTTCCTCTCCCTCCATCCTTCCTCACTTTGTCCTCCATCTTTCTCTGCTCTCACTGTATCCAAACAGGCCTCCCATCCTCCTCCATCACTCCATCCACCTCTCCTCTTCCCTTTTTAGCCTCCTTTCCCACCCTCTGCTATCTCTCTCTTTCCTTCTGCCCACCATCCTCCCTTTTCTCTCTCTCTCCCTGAGCTGCCATCGCCTATTGACTCAGCCTGGACGCTAGACAGCCATGACACAACAAGGTCAAAGGTCAGAGCAACAACAAGAAAACCAGAGCCAGTGTCAAGGTTGAAGAAGAAAGAAAAAAAGGAAAAACAGTGAAGGAGAAACAGCTCTTTATTTAAATAAATAGGAAAAAGAAGCACTAACTGCTGTCTGCTTTCAGGTGAGACAACATGAACTGAAACACTATCTGATTTTTTTTCTTCTTTTTTTTTGTAAAATTCCCATCAATGATTTTTTTGGCGACTGAAAACAAAGATTCCTCTACAGTCTACAGATGATACAGTGACAACATCGTTTTCAACATATAAAAATACTATGACAAAATCAAATGCATTATAAGCTTATAATATATATTACAATCTGTTAGGCTGTTACTGTGTGTAGATGTATTGCAGTTATAATAATAATAACGATAATAAAAGCTACATTAGTTTGAATCTGATTTATGAAACAACTCGTCGGCTTTTTATGGAAAATTTAACTCAGGCTAAAAAAACAAATAAAACATGTTAAAACGTAACATTACGCATCTTTATTTTAGTTTCACATCCATATAAATAACATGTCATCATATATAAAAGCTACATTTTCTGAGTGGCATTTCTATGATGCGTTCACTGGCTCTTCTGACAAATCGGAAAGGAAGCGTTTGATCCGAACAAACACACTGCATCGTCGTATAATGAAGCTCATTATCAGGGACAGCGTCTTGTTGTTGGAAGCGTCTTTACAGTGACAAACACACACTCACACACACACACACACACACACAACACTGTGCTTCTATACTTGTGAGGACCCTGATTCACATAGTGCCCTCCTCAGACGCTAACCATCACAGCTACATGGCCAATCCCAAATCATTTCGTCTGGGCTGTATTATTTGAAATTCATTTTTGTTTTTACACAATAATATTGATACCCTTTGACACCTTACATTGAGAAATATGAAATGTTAAAAAGCTATAAAGAAAAGCTATATGACAGCCTTCTGAACCCGCTGCTAAACACATCTTGGTCAGTACCATAACAATATTGAGGTTTTCAATACGCAGCCCTTCACGTTAACTCAAACTTAGTTCTAACGTCAGCAATAAAAACCAAATTTAAAGGGGCAGTTCACCTTCAAATCAAAAATACATATTTTTCCTCTTACCTGTAGTGCTATTTATTGGTCTAGATTGTTTTGGTGTGAGTTGCAGAGTGTTGGAGATATCGGTCGTAGAGATGTCTGCCTTCTCTCCAGTATAATAGAACTAGATGGCACTCGGCTTGTGGTGCTCAAAGCACCAAAAAAATACATTTGAAAAACTCAACAGCATTGTCTCTTTCCAGAAATCATGACCCCATCACTCAAGATAATCCACAGACCTTGTTGTGAGCAGTTTCATGTAGGATTTTTTTTTGTATCACCGCGCATAACGAAGAGCACAATCTCTGAACCCATCAGCTATCGTTTGACAACAATAAAGCCTCTGGGGGCAATATTTCAGGCTGAGCAAGCCAAAGCGTCGTCCTCTGTGCACAAATTATTTTGACTAATCCCTATAAATACATATATGAATGCAGATACATTAAAAAAGCCACTATAAAGCTAACTCGTCAACAGACGATAGACGATGGGTTCAGAGATGCATTTCAGCCAATGCGCTCCACCTCTGTTCAAACATGATTGGTCAGACTTGTAGTCTACAAACAGAAACTAAAACACTATAAATACCAAAATCTAGTCCTGTCACCTACGGATTCTGCATCTGTATGCAGACATGTGTTTAAAGAGATTAGCAAACGTACATCTGCTCATGGACAAAAGGCTCCAGCTTGTGAAAGTGCAAGATGTGAACATTAATGGCTTCCTCCTCGCTGAGCTGTAACGTTGGCCAGTTCAGTGGTACTAGGTGAGCTGGCAGTTGATGCATGCTTCCTTCTGCGCTGTGATACAGGTTGGCTTGTGTAATTAGGTAGAAAGAAAATTAGATTTGGCGCTTTGAGCACCACAAGCCAAGTGCCATCTAGTTCCATTACATTTGGGAGAAGACAGATATCGTCATGGCCGATACAATCACACGAAAACAATCTAGATTTATAAATAGCACTACAGGCAAGAGGAACCATATGTATTTTGGATTTTGGGGTGAACTGTCCTTTAAACCCAGAAATCGACCATTGAGGAAGTGAGAAACAACCAAAATATTTTCTTATTCTCAAGGTCTGTAAGCACTGGTCCTCACAAGGATAGGAGTACAAAACATACACACACACACACACACACTCCCAGCCCCCCCGCCAGTCTAAACTGGGAGAAAGGGTGTCTGGTGAGCAGCAATGGGAACCTATCATGACCCCTCTGCTGTCCCCTGTGAACCCTGTGACCTTTGACCTTCAGGCTATGTATGCTGGCAGGGTGACCTTTTTATTTACATTGGGATTATGAGCTAAACTCAATAACCTGCATTTATTCTAGGATTTAAAGGTTTCTACTGTGAGCAAGACTTTCATAGTTTATTTTAATTTAAAATGGAAGCCACAGCCTTCATTTAATTGCCTAAATTTAATTTAAAATCTATTCTGTTGTCACGTTGTGCGGGACATAAAATCTGTTATAAGTAATAAGTAAAATCGAGAATGCATAAACTGTCCTGACTAAAATGACTAGCTACGGTCTGTATTCATATTTCTGTACTTTAGCTTGTCGTTGATATAACCTACAGCTTCCAGTTGCTTTAAGGGGAAAAATTATTCCTACAGTGTGTTCTGTTTGGATGTATTGTAAGAGGAAGGACTGTTAAAGCTGTGTCTTAGACACACCCTTCAATCAGGACATTATTTTGTGTTTACGACACATTCTGTGTTTCAGAGTTTCTGCTTTTTAAATGTAATTTTGTGAGGATGATGCAGGGTACCCCCTGGGTTCTCCAAGTTAAATTTAAGACCTTTCAGGACCTTTTTAAGTTAAATTTAAAACTCTTTAAGACCTTTTTAATACCTCTGAGAAAAAAAATCAATGTCAGTTTCATGGCCATACTGGCAAAAGTATGACGGACATCATAGAAAAACCAGTATTGATTTTAAGCCCTAGAACAGAATTGTTTTCTAAGTACTTAAATTCAGTAAAACAATTTATTATAATACTCACAATCATATTAAACTGTTTGGTCTTTGTTGTTTTGTCATTAAACATAACAACAAAATGGGTGGCTTCTCTGATTTGGTCAGTCGGTTGTTTCGTGATGAACGCAGCCAGACCAAATTTGGCGATGTACGCCGTCTTGTTGTTTCCACTTGCAGAACAAACCAAGATCTTAGAGTTGGTAAAAACTGTTTTGAATATCGCGCTGATTTTATCTTTTGAAGTATGTGAGCAATGGTCTGAAAGGCTTTTCAAGATCCAAGATTTTTCAAGACCTCTGTAAACGAAATTCAATACCTTAAAGCCCTCGTTTGAGAAGGTTAAATTTCATGCTTTTTAAATACTTTAAAGACCCTGTGGGTACCATGTGATGACAGGCTCATGATTTCACCTTCCTGATTATTGTAAGATCAACACATAAAGTCGTTTCAATCACTTGCTTAAACCCTCTTCAGAGAAGCAGATAATCTGGAGCCTAAACAGCAGTCACGTCTGCAGCAACAATACTTTAAAATGTAGCTTTATTTCACCAGCAGTTCCCTCCTTCGTCAAACCGACAGACCTCAGTGCTGCCACTCAGAAACACCTGCACATGAAATCTGACAGGTGAAATATTTACATTGATTTTTAACATGTCAAATTTTACTGAGAGACCTTGTATTTCATAAACGAGTCCCTGGCTTAAATTAGTACCTTTATGTCTTGCGATAAGCTCACTGTCGCAGCTGTGAGGGAATGAAGAGCAGCACTTAACCAGCCACACATCAAAAACACATACAAGAAGGCATACGGAGGCTTTTCACACACGAGTATTAAAGATGAGCTGGAGTTAGGTAGTTAGCGCGCAGGCTCTGCTGCAGCAGGTGAAGAGGAGGAAGACGACGATGAGGTTGAGTCGTTGATTTCATGTTTCGAGATGGGAGGACTGTCTTATGTTACAAAACTGCATCTGTGCGCGAAAAACACACAAAACAAACACCAAAATGTCTGTTTATCAGTGATCCTTACAGTGTGTGTACAGCTTGGTGTGTGCGTGTTGTGTTTAGACATGTGTGTGTGTGTATCTGCATGTGTGTATGTGCGCACCGTTTCATCCACAGTACTACACACACTCCTTGCAGCCACACTCCACAGGCTTCTCCACATCCTGCGTAAACGAGGTCCCGTCGTCGCATTCGAAAGTGAGCCGTCGACGTCGGACCCTTAGAGGAGCGCAGCAGGAGGTGGCGGTGGTGGCGCCCGGCTCGGTTCCCACCTGGCACCGCCCCCGACATTCCACCCAGGAGAAAGGCTTGGACGTCTGGCAGAGGACGGTCCCATGCTGCAGGCGGTGGTAATCTCTCACCGGCTCACCTTGACACGGGGACTCTGTAGACGGGGACACACAGGGAGGATTGACAGATGAGGAGTCAGCAGTTAAAGGGTCATTTCACCAAAATTACAAATAAAAGAATTTCCCACCAACCACTAGGGCTATACGACAAAACAATTTGAGAGAACTCAAGACCTCTGCACCTCCTCTTGGCTCTGTTTTCAGGCGTGAGAAAATCTAGCCTGTGACAGGAGACTTTGGCCACCCACAGGTCATTTCAGAGAGAGGGCATTTCTATTGGCTGTTCTAAGATTCAGATGCATGTGCACAACTGCCAACACCAGGGGTTCCCAAAAAGTGGGTCATGGGTCCACTCTGATTGGATTGCAAGTTACTTACAAACACATCAAGTCTGAAAAAACGCACTTTATTTTTAAGTACAGTGAATTTTCGGCACAGAGCTTTTATCTTTCAGTGTCGTCTCCTGCTGGGTGACTAACGGACAGCTACTTGACAGAGACAGCAAACTAGCTCGACGACATGGCCAAACGCAAGTGACTAAGGAGAAATCTGGACCCTGTGGCTGCACCAGTTGGGAACCACTGGCCTACACTGCAAAGCAAACCCAACAAGGAAGACTGACTCATCAAAAAGAGAGTCTGACAATAAACAAAAGAAAACACGTATATATCGGGAAAGACTTTCAGAGGTGGAGAAAATGTGGCTTATAATTTAGCCTTCCGTTAACAAGAACCAAAGGGTCACGGCTGCAGCTTCAAGTTCATATTTAGCTAGCAGCTAGCTAAAGCCTCGCATTACAGTGTGTCATCTCAACGGATTCTACCGGCTCACATGTTTGCAACGACACAGGACGATTATTCTCATAGAACTGCTGCTGTATAATGGTAACGGGATCACAGTCACGATTGGGATGATTGAAATGAATGACTGTTGTGACAAAGTGTTTTAAGTTCTAGCATTTTATTATTATTATTATTATTATTACATTTTTGTCTGTTCCAGAAAACTGCGTACCCTAGTTTTAATGCCGTGTTCATGCGACAGTTAAACACTACATGAGTCACCAGTGACGCGTTGTTGAAGCGCTCATTAGCATAGTTACGTCGCCATGGGCTTGTGTGTGTCTGCTTCCTGCCGCAAAGCATCTCAACTGAACGTCACCTAAGGTTTGTAATTGGACATAAAGTATCTGTGCTTCTGAAAAAAGTCTAAGCCCCATTTGAGGGGGAAGCTCAACTTTTGCTTGTAACACTAATGTCGGGCGTCACTTTGTAGCTTCATGTCTCTGGCTTCCATTGAAAATGAACTGCAGTCTGTCAAAGTGTCGCCCGTAACATGAACGCAGCATAAGTTGCTGAAGAAAACAGGACAGCAACAAGTTGTCCCAGAGACTGTCTTGGACAAAAAAAGAAAATATACAGTTCAAAACTAACTTACTGGAACTACTTTTTTCCCCAAAGGAAAGATTAGTTGATTATTCAGAATCAAATTGGGTGAACTAACCTTCATATTTTCAGTGTCTTTTTTTGTTTATTACAAGCTGTGATTTGCTACAGATTTTACAAATTATACTGTGTTATAGAGACAGCAGTAGAAAATCCATAGTTTTTGAGAGCCAAAAGTGGGTCGCAGGTCCATTTTGAATGGACCACAAGATACATTAGAAGATACAGTAAATTTCCAGCACAGAGTTTTTGTTTTGAAGTCCTGTTTCATGATATAGAGTGAGTGATTTACGGGTAGCTACTTGACAGAGACAGCAAACTTGACAGCAACTTGTTAATCAGAATCAGAAATACTTTATGGATCCCTGAGGGGATATTGTGAAACAAGTACAAAGACAGCTTAAGGGAGCACCTACAACAGGCTGCATGCACGGTCAGCACATGTGCATTAAACTGTGTGGACCTTGAGCTAACGACTAAGGAGAAATCTTGACTCTGTGGCTGGACCAGTTGGGAACCACTGATCTAAAATATATACTGATGCATGGGTGTGAATACGTTCTCCAGGATGACACCAAAGCTGGGATCAGACCAATAATAGTCTGATCTGTCACATGTGGAGCGTAGGGAATAAAGTGAGAACTGGGCATGATAACTGTTTAATCTGTGTAGCGTGTGTTAGCGAAAGACAACTGCTTCTGCTTTTGGAGCACAGACAGTCCAGCATGTTTAAGTTTTCTTTCACACATTGATCTCTTGTGTGATTCATGCAGGTTGTGAAAGACTGTTAGGTATGAGTGGTGGGGGTCTAACGTGTTTAAAGCTCCATGACACATAATCTGACACAGTGACCATCTCTACAAACATTTACATCAAATAAGCTGTTCGCACCCTGATCCCTCGTTCTCCCTCACCTATATCACAGCTCTCTCCGGTGTATCCCTGCTCACAGACGCAGCGCTCTCCGTCCTCCGTCATCTGACACTGGCCGTGCAAACACTGCAGACCCTGGCACAACCCCGCCGGCTCCTCCTGCAGGTTACACAACGCACCATGGTATCCTTCCACACAGTCGCAGCGGTAAGTCTGTGTGTCCAGTGCCACACACGCACCCTTCACACACCTGGATTAATGAACGCAATGAAGAAGATGAGGAGAAAACACTTGACATGAAGGACAAATCAACAGAAAAACAACATTAACAGGAATCTATGTATTTGTCACATTAACACTTTTGAATTCATGTCATGAGGAATGGCATTTGTTAAGTGGAGGTAAAGTGCATGATTTAAATGCCAAGAAAATCAACACTCACTTGCTTCCTTCACACGGGTTGACACCAGTTGCCGTGGTGACAACATCGGCTCCAGTAAGGCCTCCTGTTATTGGCTGGTCACAATGTTGTCCTGTCCAACCGGGCTGGCAGTGACACTGGGGACCCTGAAAACACAACATGTTTACTACTTTATCTTCTTTATCCATTATCAGTGAAAAGAAAAATCTTAATAAATGTCTGAACCCGAAAAACTGTGCGCAAAAAAAAATACATTAAACATCATTAACCTTCTCCTCCTCTACCTCCTTTATTCTGTGTCCCTCAAAGTTTTCCTTTTGCAACAACGTTTTTAAGAGAATAGAGAGCTCTTTAAATACTGAAATGCCATGTTTGTTTGCTATGACATGCCAAATGAAATAAAATAACATTCAAGTGATCTTCACCTCAGGAAAATTCCTGATACATTATAAATTATGAAAAAGAGCTTGACTATTGAAACATTCAAGTTAAAGGGGCATCTTATCATCCATTTCATCTGGAGTATAGCATGACGTCACACACCTTCTCTCTGTGTTGATCTCCAGCCCCTTGTTTACAAGCTGGTCCGGCTGCGCATTCATGTACGTTCATGTGAATCGCCACCTCCTCCCTCCTCTCAGAGCCCTTGGCCCTCCCTCCCTATAAAAGGCTACAGCCAATGAGCAATGGCAGCACCTATTTTCGAAGCGAAATGGCGGAGAGCGGAACAAAACGTCCACCTGAAAACGACCAGGATCCGATATAACCTCTAAAGAAACAGCGGTAGTTGGCGAAGAAGTTGTCGGATAAAGAAAGGGACAGAACTTGGATTAACATTGGCCTTTCATTTCCAATGTGGAGAGCACTGCGAGAGCTAAAGGGGCTACAATCTGACTCGGAGCTAGCTCTTCTTCTCCTGGACAGGTACAACATAAAGTCAAATGTCTGTTTTAATTAGTGTTACAGTAACGTTAGGCACATGTCGCTATGTCGATTCAATTAAATTTAATGTTACAATCGTAGCATGGGTTAACGTCCGGAGATTGAGTTATTAGCGGCTCGGTCCCAGCAATGGGTCAGGCGTTACGGTTGTGTTGGGTGAGTAGCCCGGCAGCCCAGCTAACATTTGCAATTAGCATTGTAATATGTAGTCAGGCTAAAACATCGCTCTCACTCACGGAGAAGAGTAGAAACGTTAGCGTTAGCTCCCGGTGTTAGCACTAGCCGGGATGCAGCGATGGCTCTAGCCGAGTCTGCTGCCACCGGCTACTGGAGTAACTTACAGCTATGGGGCGCTTCTACCAGCTCTTCTAGTCATTGAGCCTCGTCTCCATCTCAGCAGATATATTACATTTATTACAGGTACCATCATCATTGAAGTAGGCAGGGGAATAGCTAAACACAGCAGAGACTGAGAGTGAGTGAAAGACATCGCTAACTGCTAAACTAAGTTTAGACGAGGCGAGTGGGGGGTGGGGGGGTGGAGAGCAGAGGTAGAGGGAGGTGTGGCTCATGACACACTTTGTTTTGGTCTACAGGCAGTGCACAACAGCAAATCTAGCGGTGAAACGATTTTTGCCCCTTTTAGATAAACAGGACATTAATAAAAGTGCAGATTTTGATGTCGAGGTTGAGTTCAGGGACAATCTACACAAGAACAAAATTCTCAAATTCTTAAAATATATGTATTTTTTCTTATTAATGCACGATTAGTCTTTGATTTAACTTTTATGTCACTCTAGTGTTTGTAAGGCTTATCACTGTTGACACATGCTGTTTTGTGTTGGCTGTGTGTCTCCTACCTGTGCAGCGTTGGGCTGGCAGATCCCATGCAGACAGTAGAGCTTGCGGCAGGGCTGACAGCCTGGCACCACCCCTGGCTTCATGTGGCTGCGGGTGAAGTCCTGCAGCTCATGGTTGATGTAGAGGTTCCTGATGCAGCCGTGAAAACTGGACATGTTGAGGGTCTGGGAGGAGAGACCCAGAGAGGCGTCCATCACCTCCTCGGGCATACCTGGGGAGGCAGGCGGTCAGATGTCAGCTTGAAAATTCCATAAACTGGTCCATGAATAGTTTTTGTGTGCTTTTGAGTGCTTGTCTGCTCTTACCTCCTACATACAGAGGTGCATCCCCCGTCACCGGCTGGCTCCGGCCCTGACTGTCCAGAGTTGTCGGCTCTCCTCCGTCCACAGACAGGTTCACCATTCGATTAAAGGTCACCAGCTCCACCGTGTGAAATTGCCCATCATTCACTGTCTCAGTGCTGTATGTAGAGGGTGTACAACACACTTTCCATATCAGATTTACAATGTAGGAACGAAGAATGATAAAGAGAGAGCACATGGATACTGTGTCCTTTTCTGGGATTACATTTTATTGGTGAAATTGGATAAAATCATCGTCCAAATGTCATTGCAGGGTCAATATTCACTACGGTTAAGGCTGGTTAAGGGCCTGTCCCATTTCTACCCCTTAAATCTTCCACTTGGTATTGAGTGCCCTCATTTGCCAGATAAGCCTTGATGAGGGAAGCGAGGGTAGAGATCCTTCCCTAAGAAATGGGACACCGCTTCATGCCGACGTGCAGGCATACGTCACGCATTGAGGTGACGCAATGAAAATGCTGGCTCCAGCGCTTGTGGTGTGGCGTGTGCTATGTTTATTCCTCTCCATCTGATGAATCAACGGAGAAGAAATGCTGAAAACAGGAGGCGCCTACAACGTCTTCTAGTTCTGATCGATTTTGTTCGGGTAAGTGTTCAACCGAGTTGCTGATGAGTTTACGCTAGTCCACTAGCCTACTTCCCGATCGTTCAGTAACAAATTGTTTTCCAAAACTTGCCGAAGTTGCTGACTTCGCAAGGTGTTCTGGGAAATTTCATCTTCCACTTCGTTGAAAGTGTGGGTCGGGGCTCCCTTGGAATCCAGGGCGGGTTTTAAGTGTTGGAAACCACTTCCACGACCTCAATTCTGTTTTGAGACACCACTAGCCTAAACGTGAACACGCACAACCAAGTGTAAGTGGGTATTTCTAGGGAAGTGTGGGTATTGGGAGAGGCCCTAAGGCCCAGGAAATGTAGGGAATGGGGGTTATTTTGTCTCGCTTCACACTAACAAATCAGTGGCAATCAGTCAGAACCCGTTTAGCCAACACAGACACAGTGTGGTAGTAATTTGGAGCAGTTTTGTTTTTCGGAACAACTGAAAAATACTTGTACAGCTGTGTCAATATTATCCACGCTGGATGCACTGGATCGTGTTTATTTTTCTGTCACTACTTTTCATGGTGGTAGTTGGATATATCCCCTTTCCACCAAACATTTGCACCTAAATGCAGGTTTTTTTTAATGCAAGAAAACCTGCGAAAAGTAGGCGATAAACTCCTTTCTCATTGCCAGTAGATCATAGCTCTGCAGTAAATACTGTGTCACATTTGATGTCATGAACACACTGAAAAACAGGTTAGTAAACAGTAGAGAGCAGTACAGAGGCTAGGGAAAGTGATTCGACTCTCTTTCAAACTCACTGCTGACTAATTTGGACAAATGTTCGAGCGCAGCTTGGAGGGAGAAGGGGTGAAAGTTACTGTGTCCAGCTGGGTGTCATATTTCCATCACTGCCAACCCGAGCCGAATAGAGCTGTAGCTGATAAATACCCGTGACTGCTGCAGAGTCATTTGTCTCGGGAATATGCGTATGCCGACTGTAACCTTTCCCATTAAATACAAAAGCCAGATATTAGTGGGTGTTTTTTTTATCCAGCAAGCTATGCAGGAAGATGGCATTGACATTTTAAATCCTGGCTATTAAGATCTGATGGGTGATTATTTCACTAAATCAGTGTTGATGGGCACATCAACAGCAGCATCAAACCTTTATGAATCCCTGAACAGGCAGAAGTTCTGAACCAGGTCTGTTCTGGCCTGTGTCACATTCTAAATGGGCACTTTCTAAGCTAACCTGTTTGGTTCTGCTAAAATAAAGTCAGGTGTGTATACCTGGTTAGTACAGTTTGTTTGGTCTGATGTGACAGCTGCTGATCAGCCCTGGTGCGGACCAAACGACCAAACAGAAACTATTTAAAGAGTCTCGGTTCGCTTCTGGTGCAGTTTGTTTGTGGTGTGAAAGCCAACAAACCAATCAAAGAATTTTCCCGATAGCAGACACGTGATTTAAGTATGATTTTGTCTAGGAAGCAATCTTATAATTGATGTATTTATGGCCAGATATATATCTCCTATTTATGCACATCAGTTGGTAACCCTGGTAACACATATGCACATCAATGCCGGTATTTTCCCAGATGAACAGGTCAAAAGCTGTTAACAAGTCCATGTACTATGTCAGTTCATTGAGTCCATTAAAAAAGTGTGTGACAGCGATCCCACCGTAATAAACCTCGAATCATTACTTTCTCTACCTGTTAGCTCATCAGTCATTTCTTCTTTGTGATACTAAAGAATATAAATAAACATCAGAAGCGTTAAAGTGCTGCATAAACTTCTGTCTGTCACCAGAATTCCATTTCCCTGCGCAGGTCCTGATGATGCAGGATTAAAATTGCCAAAACTGTCCAATCATGGTGTTATCTGTTTGTCTTTATAACTTCATGTTTACTCCTCTTGGTTTGTTTACAAAAAGTCAGTGTGAACAGGAGCCGGACCAGATCTGAAATGCCACAATATGTAATTTTATTTCCCACTTGATTTGGAATAAAGTGAAAAGAAAATGAAAGAACCTTAAAACGGCCTTTTATAATTATTCGGACTGATGAATTCCTCTTTTTCAAATCTCAAGTTCTCAGTTTTTCTCGGCTCTCTTCATTTTTTCTCTTTTCAAATGAGTTGCCATGCTCTCAATCTCCTCTCTGCAGGTGCTTATCACACAAATAGCCTCAGACTGTGTGTGTGCATCAGGCTGACGGCTAGCCGCGCCTCCTCCTCCTTAACAGTGAACCATCCAAACATTTAAGCACTTGACACCTGATCAAGTGGACACTCAGCTTTGAGTGTTCTCTGGCTACATCTGCAGTTTAACCACAATACTTACACTGCCCGTGTCCACATTCCCAAACACTGCAGGACTCGCTCCGAGCAACAACACACATCACGCACTAACATGCTCTGAGCGCTGTTGCTGGGCTACAGTGAGCCAAGAGGCTGCCAAGGGCCTGATGGGAGTCCGGCAGATTGCTCGGCTCGACAAACACTCAGCCTTCAAAATCTGACGAGGAGAACACGCTAATCAACCTGCGCTGTAGCTGCTGGCTGGAGTAACGAGGTTAAGTGTGATGTTAGACACGTTGAGCTGGTCAGGTTCGGCAGATGGAGGTCGTGACCCTCGCACAGAAAAAAAGCAGTATAATTCCACTGTAACTATTTATTTCCCACTTAGTTTCAACTGATGGGGCTTTTGTCAAGGACCTGCCCCTTCTCACCAACATTCTGAGCTGTGCTTGTTACAAGAAAACACAGTTTCTATAAAACTGCTCACTGAGGTTTCACAAAATCAAAGTGAGAATAAGTTTCAAATGATCTGCTCCTTTTACAAAATAAGTTAATGTTTTATACTAGAAAATAAAAACAAAAATAAGGACTGCAGCCACTGACACAGACTCTCTCAGATTAACCTGTAGCCTAAAAACAATAAATTAAAATCAAAGAAGAGGTGATAGCTGACCTTCTGTAAAATATATACAGTACAGGCCAAAAGTTTGGACACACCTTCTCATTCAATGCGTTTTCTTTATTTTCATGACTATTTACATTGTAGATTCTCACTGAAGGCATCAAAACTATGAATGAACACATGTGGAGTTATGTACTTAACAAAAAAAGGTGAAATAACTGAAAACATGTTTTATATTCTAGTTTCTTCAAAATAGCCACCCTTTGCTCTGATTACTGCTTTGCACACTCTTGGCATTCTCTCCATGAGCTTCAAGAGGTAGTCACCTGAAATGGTTTTCCAACAGTCTTGAAGGAGTTCCCAGAGGTGTTTAGCACTTGTTGGCCCCTTTGCCTTCACTCTGCGGTCCAGCTCATCCCAAACCATCTGGATTGGGTTCAGGTCCGGTGACTGTGGAGGCCAGGTCATCTGCCGCAGCACTCCATCACTCTCCTTCTTGGTCAAATAGCCCTTACACAGCCTGGAGGTGTGTTTGGGGTCATTGTCCTGTTGAAAAATAAATGATCGTCCAACTAAACGCAAACCGGATGGGATGGCATGTCGCTGCAGGATGCTGTGGTAGCCATGCTGGTTCAGTGTGCCTTCAATTTTGAATAAATCCCCAACAGTGTCACCAGCAAAACACCCCCACACCATCACACCTCCTCCTCCATGCTTCACAGTGGGAACCAGGCATGTGGAATCCATCCGTTCACCTTTTCTGCGTCTCACAAAGACACGGCGGTTGGAACCAAAGATCTCAAATTTGGACTCATCAGACCAAAGCACAGATTTCCACTGGTCTAATGTCCATTCCTTGTGTTTCTTGGCCCAAACAAATCTCTTCTGCTTGTTGCCTCTCCTTAGCAGTGGTTTCCTAGCAGCTATTTGACCATGAAGGCCTGATTTGCGCAGTCTCCTCTTAACAGTTGTTCTAGAGATGGGTCTGCTGCTAGAACTCTGTGTGGCATTCATCTGGTCTCTGATCTGAGCTGCTGTTAACTTGCGATTTCTGAGGCTGGTGACTCGGATGAACTTATCCTCAGAAGCAGAGGTGACTCTTGGTCTTCCTTTCCTGGGTCGGTCCTCATGTGTGCCAGTTTCGTTGTAGCGCTTGATGGTTTTTGCGACTCCACTTGGGGACACATTTAAAGTTTTTGCAATTTTCCGGACTGACTGACCTTCATTTCTTAAAGTAATGATGGCCACTCGTTTTTCTTTAGTTAGCTGATTGGTTCTTGCCATAATATGTATTTTAACAGTTGTCCAATAGGGCTGTCGGCTGTGTATTAACCTGACTTCTGCACAACACAACTGATGGTCCCAACCCCATTGATAAAGCAAGAAATTCCACTAATTAACCCTGATAAGGCACACCTGTGAAGTGGAAAGCATTTCAGGTGACTACCTCTTGAAGCTCATGGAGAGAATGCCAAGAGTGTGCAAAGCAGTAATCAGAGCAAAGGGTGGCTATTTTGAAGAAACTAGAATATAAAACATGTTTTCAGTTATTTCACCTTTTTTTGTTAAGTACATAACTCCACATGTGTTCATTCATAGTTTTGATGCCTTCAGTGAGAATCTACAATGTAAATAGTTATGAAAATAAAGAAAACGCATTGAATGAGAAGGTGTGTCCAAACTTTTGGCCTGTACTGTATATATATAGAAATTAGCAAATTTGTCTATATTTGACATTTTCAGTGGTGGAACGTACCAAGGTATATTTATTCAAGCACTGTACTGTAGTATAAATTTGAGGTACTTAAGTTGTTTTTATTCCATCATACTTTATATTTCAGAGGGACATATTGTACTTGTTACTGCAGTATATAATTATCTGTCAGCGATAGTTACTTTTCACTGTAATGCACTGTTAAAGATTACACTACCAAATAGTACTGTATATAAAATAAGAGCTGAAATGATTAATTGATTAACAAGATGAACTCTTTAAATTACAGTAAAAAATGATAAAAAATAACATTTTGAGGTTTGACTCAGACAAATTGGGGAGTTATACAATTAATGAAACACAAGCACATACAGTGGTGTAAAATACGACTACTCAACATATTTGTAAATACTTTGAAACCTGGAACGACATGACTTTTCATGTGCTGCTGTCAGACACCTTTCGTGAGTATTTAAACCTTTGATCCCTGAGAATATTGGTGTGATTTCTTTCAACAACATGGGCAAAAAGGCAATGAGCAACTTGGTGAGAAATGTCCAACAAACTGATAAATAAAATAAAATAGATTTAGAAAAATATTGAAAAAAAAAATAGGGAAAAAGAAAAAGCTATAGAAAAACCATATTTATAATTATTATTATCACATTTAGAAATGATGTTACAGAATTCTTATAATTTTAAGCACTCTTTCTCTAACTTGATTCCTCTTCTTTTTAAAAAAAATAAATTTATTGTTTTTAATTTTTCTAAAAATAATTTCTTGCTCATTTTTGGGGGTAATGTCTTCTTCCGTTGCTAATTGCCTTCTTCCCGTGTTTTTACAAGAAATCAAGCCGATTTGCTCAGGTTTCAAGGGGTTAATTCGAAGAAGAAGGAAGAACTAATGTTTTTCGGCTTGTTTTGTCTTTTAAATAAAATTTACCCTGCTTTTCAAACAGCTCCTATTTTAAAGGTGTAATGTCAAATGTCTGACCACATGCTCTGAAGAACTAGGGGGCTGCAATACACTGGTCTACGACTGGGTCCATTATTAAAACAAACAAACAAAAAAGGCAACTAACAGCAGGGCGAGAATACGCACAGTTTGACCAAACCACTGAAACTCAAAGAGCCAGTCAAAAATCACTGCTATTGTAAAATCTTAACGTTATAGCTTCGCTTAGCTTTAGCAAAACCATAATAGCAAGAAAATAGCTCCACTTAAACCATATATCAGCGCCATTTTAAATGTTTTTGGTTTGTGTTGACTTTAGTTTAATGACACAATTGGCCAAATAGCCAACATTAGGCAATATCTATTCTATTAACAGCATAAGTAACTTTCTGTCGCATGGCTTTACTTACTATTGCTGCTCTGCATGTCTGAATGTAATGCTAATCTGTGTGTTGGTGCTTCGTGTCGTTTGCATGTCTGTTTGTTGTTGTTGTTGTTGTTGTGTCATTGTATTGCACTGATGCTCTGCTGTGCTTGTTGCTTTGCCTTAATTCTGTTCTACCCTGACCATTTCTAATTTCTGTAGATAATTCTGTCTTTATGCCTTTATGCTGTCTTTGTCCTGTGAATTTTATCATTTCATTGGTTTCAAACATCTTGCCAAAGGACTGCAGTTGAAAATTAGCCAGCTGGCTAACACTGGCACATTTACAGGAATATTGATTAATGTGCTTTGTTCTTATAAAGAAAAATAAAGTTAAATAAAGCAAAGTAAAGTTCAGCATCAAACCTTTTCTCCTGGCTCGCCAACAGCTGTCTCAAGTGGTGGAAAGCCACATCAACAATAACTTGTTTTGCTTCTTTTTGTATGATTTCCTGTCTTTGCCAGTGAACGTGGTCACATCTTTTGCATTATAGAAAGTTATGCATTTTAAAACTAAAACTTTAGTTAGTTTGGATGTAGCCTTTGTGTTTACTGTGCCTCTACGTCTCTATCCTCTCATGTTGGACTGAGGGCTGACTGGATGCTACAGTCATAGGCATCATTTAGGTATGGCAAGGTATGGCAGCTGCAAGTGATCAGATATGATATGTTAGATAGTCCGAGGCGCACTGGCTGGTTGTTTTCATTGTATTGCACTTAAATAGGTCAATAATATGCTCATCAGTGAATACGAGTGTTATTGAATCAAATTGTTCGCCACTTCGCTCCTCCGCGAGTTATGAGTTATGTGAGTTATCTGTGTGTTGTAAAAGCATTTTGCTTTGCTGCTGTAGACAGCCTGTCTAAATGATGTCTTGAAGCCTGTCTGATTGTATGTGGGTTTTTTCTTCATGTCGGCATTTTAAGCTTGTATTTTCGGTCTCTGGAGACACTCCAATAAATTCGCCTATACAGTATTGTACCAATTGGCCTTTGATTTACTGTGTTTCATACACCGGACCCCTTGGTTATCTTCTAGAAATGAGCTTGTAATTAATTTATTTTCTTTATTTTCTGTGAAGTTAAACACATGACTAATGATAATTAAACGTCCGCTCGCTGTTCGTGGTGCTGAAGTGCGCCGAAATAGGTCCGATGTTTTCACTGCTCTCACCAAGTCGTGCATTACATGCAGACATGAGGTATTATTAATGTGAGAAACAGCTTCATGTCCCTTGAAACAGTTTTCAATAGCATAGTATGTACTTCTGACACGTCAAAGACCAAAGTGAAGTTTTATATAAGTTCATATTTTTGAAACTCCATCATCAGTAGCTCTGTGACAGCATGTCATATTGTTATACCTTATCTTTTGCTGAAATGACGCCCCTGGCTACAGTGACTCACTGGCAACTCTCAAGGTACAAGTGGTACTACAAGACAGAGAGGGCTGGGGCTTGCTGGTTAGTGTGCCAATTTCAGTAGATATCTCTGCATCTTAATCTTATTACACAGATGTCTTTGACATAATGCCAACATCGTTATTTTTCACGTTCGGTTGATATTTGTTCATTTTTTGAAAGTTTTAAACTAAAATTCTGGCCATAACTTACAGATTGCACCTTTAACCAGTTTTCATACAGGATGGAACTGAGTTGGATCCTTGTAACAACATATATTGTGCTTCTGTGTGTGTGTGTGTGTGTGTGTGTGTGTGTGCATCTACCTGTAGATAGCAGTGGCAGGCTGGTTCCCAGGATCATATGTGACCCTCACATGACCCTGATGGAGCTCCACAGCGATTGGCTCGTTGTCTCCGTTATAGAGCAAGATACCATTTTCCTCTGCTGTTGACACCTGAAACACACACACACACACACACACACACACACATGAAGAAAGACACACCGATCACAGTTTGTGTGTGTGTTAGTCTGCTACTGCTGATATTCGATTTCTATCATTCTACAGTGTGACGTCCTCACCTGCAGTGTGATGTTGGCCTGAGGCCAGTTCTTGACGTCTTGCAGCTGAACATAAGAATCCCTGTCAACAAAGTTGACGCTGACCAGCTTCTCGCAGCTCTGACCCTCGAAGCCCGGCAGACACTGACAGATCGCAGTCCCCGTCTTCTCCACACAGGTGGCGCCGTTCTGACACTGGGTCAGCTGGCAGAGAGACGGGGGAGGTAGGGCCACTTCACAAAACTCACCACTGTGGGGAAAGGAAGATGACTGAGAGTTTCATCCACTGATACTTACAGAGAGTTTAAAATCTCTTTGATGTGGAAGGTTAATTCATAACAATCGGTAGAAGCATACATATGCCAACATCCTTTTTAGGCGTGCAAACATTGATAATATTCCACTAGAGGGTTTCAAACATTCATATTAGTTAAAAATAAGGATCAGTCATTTTATTTACATGACAAAAGTTATAATAAACGTCTGATTTTTAATTGTCATTTGATGATTTTGTGTAACTTTTGATGCTCTGCCCAGCACATTGCATGGAAACACACATGCAGATTGGGTGAAAACATAATTTTAAATCAAGTTTCCTGAAATCTTAACATAAGACTGGAAACTGCTTCTAATTTCCAGTATTTTCCAAAACCCCAGTCTATCTACAGTGTCGCCTGTGTTCCCAGTATTCCCAGTTTCCCAAGTGTTCCCAGTACCTGTATCCCTGTGGACAGACGCAGCTGTAGCCATCCAGATGGTCGACACACTGAGCTCCATTCTGACAGCGATTGTCCACACATTCATTATAATCTATACCGCAGTCCGGCCCCACCCAGCCTGGGATACACACACACCTAGAACACACACATATACAAACACATATACAAACACACACACACATACTACATGACACATGTTGTAGGATTTTGGGGAGTCAACACAGACCTCAGCAGTTATCATTAACCTTTGTATATGTTTGTCTCTGTGTGTCTATATTTTTAATCTCATCTGGGATCTGAAACTTTGCTGAGCCTGGCAGTGATAAAGTGTGTGTGTGTGTGTGTGTGTTGTCACCTGGGGCCAGTAGGAGTGCTGATGCAGGTGGACTGATGCTGACATTGGTTTCTACCTGGAGAGCACACATCCTCCTCCTCCTCACAAAACAGACCTGAGAGCGAGAGGAGAGGAAGAGGAATCATGTAACATTCCGAACATTCAGAGCAGATCATTTCTCCTCTCAGCATGTCAGAGCGGATCAGTTATATTGTCTATAAAATGCTTTATCATTATTGTTTCCTGATGAAAATCACTGAGTGGAAGGAGAGGAGGTGAAGTGCCAATCGATGCCGCTGTCACACCTGTGTAGTTTGGCGGACACAAGCAGGTGTAGTTGCCCACTCCGTCCACACAGGTGGCGTCTTTCTCACACCCGTGGTCCTGACAGTCGTCCACGTTCACCTCGCAGAAAGTACCGTGGAAACCAAATGCACATGCACAGCTAAACAAACACAAACAAAGAAATAAACCGTAATATTCATGCAGAAATACTCATGTGTAGTGTCACTCATGACATCACAACATGCAAATTCATTAGCTAATAACCAACTTATTAGCACTTCATGTTGTCAAGTGTTGTCTGACAGCAGTGTAGGCCCAGAGCAGCTTGTTCGAAAGGTGATGCTGTCTTGTTTGTTTCAACTCATTAAACATTTTCTCCATTAAAAACCTGTTAGAAACTCGTGCATTTTTAAATTCCCACCTGGACATGTTGAACTCACCTAGCTTTTTTTTTTGGTTCTGGATGTAGCAGACATGCCTAACAGTGCTTCAGAATAAAGTACATATAGAATATACATATATATATATATATATATATATATATATATGTATATATAACCTATTTATGCACATCAATCAATTGGCAACCATGGTAACACATATGCACATCAAGGTAAAAAAATCCCATAGCGTTGCAACCCTAAATAGCTGCATTAGCTAATGTAATGTTAACCCGCATAGCTATGCTTTATTAAGACCGAGCAGTGCAAAGAATACTAAACAATAAAATGGCTCGCTGACTTCTGTGTTTTCCAAGAAGCTGGAGCAACAATAGGGTGTGAAGTGGATATGACGCTCAAATAAAAAACACAGTTACCTTGAATAAAATTACAGATTTCTCTGGGTTTGAACATTGCTGGAGACACTCGGGGTAATGTAAGTAAGCAACTTAAGAATAAAGATAACGTAGGTCTATTTGTTTTTAGATGTTTTAATGAAGAGATGTTATATGTTATACTGTTACTAAGCACTGTTGGAGAGATTGAAGATTTTTGTTGCAATGACTGCTTCACTGTAACTGTTGTGAATATGACAATAAAGAATCATTCCTACAGCCACTTTGCTAACATGGCTAAAATAATTTCAGAGATAAAAAATAAAACTGGTGAAAACAGAGAAAATCAGATTCATAGGACAGTGCGTCTGCTGTTTTCTTGTTAAGTGTGTCTATTGTTTTCTTGCATCCCCCAGTCTACATAAGTTTTGAGTCTTGTTACCTGAACCCTCTGGTCTGTTCATCACTGATGCAGAGCCCTCCGTTGGTGCAGGGATTACTGACACAAGCGTCGACTGGAGTCTCACAGTGTTTACCCTGAAATATCACACACAAACATTAAATAAAGAGCTTTTTTTTAACGTCAGAGCAGGTCAGCTGAGTAATTTGATGGGATTATTATCAGAGACAGATGTGGGCTCAAAATAATCACTGACAACACGCGAACACACAGAAAACATTGGTGGTTTTAAAACGTTCAGCTCCGGGTTTTTAAATGGATTGTTTTGTGTCTACGGGGGGAAACATTTTGATTAGATGTCACAAGGTGACAGTAAACACACTCATGAGCCTGTTGGCAGCATGCCACACACTCATACAACACAAACACAAACACACAGTGTGGTACCGTGAAGCCAGACTTGCAGGTACAGGTATACAACTCTGTGTGGTGGACTTGACAAACGCCCTGGTTCTGGCAGGGAGACGCCACACATGGGCTGCATTTGGCCTGAACAGATGCCTCGACTGGACCTGACAACACACAGACACACACACAGGATCAGCAGACGATATAATGGGCTCAATATATGGAAGGCAACAGACAGAGATCCAAAGAAAATTGTGTGTTAGATAGATCACACCTGGTGGCTGAATACAGACAATAAATCTCACCATTCATCATGTTCTTTTCATCACTTTGTATGGCTTGAAAGATATTAATCTATATTTATGTTCAGACATGACTTCTGTTTGGATTCAGAGATGATGTTTGGTTGTAAAAGGCCTGGTGTGTGTGACTCTGGTGAATCCTATCTAACCATTTAAAGTCATGCAATAACACAAATAAACAGATCGAGGCAGTGGTAGACCAGCAACTCCCGTGTTCAGCGAGGTAAAATTACCGGTTTGAGTCTGGCTTTGAAGAGAGCATAAGTTCAGTTCAGTTCGGTGTCTTACTGTCTGTTTGGTAAGTACAGAACATACAAGTGGATAAATGAGACTTGGATTAAACTGCACAAGCTGTGTGAGAGTGTGTATTCATTTTCATATTGTATTGTTTTTGGATTCTTTGTTTAGCGTGGAGGCATGCGAGAACATGTTTCTTAAAGAATTCATCATAAGCGATGAAGAAATGATCATTTTGGATGTTACGTATTCCCTTAATGTTTCCTGAACTTCACACCCGAGCTTGTCTGCGTGTCGTTTACTGTTGTCTCTTTTCACATGATTTAATATTAACTACAAAATAACAGTTTTGTGTATCTTTACTGAGTTATGTACAACATCTCTCAGCTGTTCTACTGCACAGGATGTCAAAGGTGTTAAGTGACCGCCGACATCGTTGTAGGTGTTGCATGTTGTATCATCATTAGGTTATGTAACTGAGTTATTGTAAACTATGTTATGAGATAAGATATACACCAACCAGCCAAAACATTAAAACCACTGGCAGGTGAAGTGAATAACATTGATCATCTTGTTACAATGCAATGCTCTGCTAGGAAACCTTTGTTTCTGGCATTCGTGTGGACGCCACTTGATGCAGTCCACCCATCAAAACACTGTTGGGGACCAAGTACACCTCCATATGGCAAGTGGCAGTGCCCCCCTCAGCAGGACAATGCATCATATCACACCATAAAAACTGCTCAGGAAAGGCCCGAGGAATGTGACAAAGAGCTAAAGGAATTAATCTGGCCATAAAATTCTCCAGATCCCAATCTGATTGAGCAGCTGTAGGACGTGCTGGTACACCACCTTGCCAGGACCAAAGGTTTACAAGCAGAACATTGCATTGTAATGAGATGATCAATGTTATTCACTTCACCTGTCGATGGTTTTATCCATAATGAATGTCCTCATGTGGCATTTATGACCTTGTGGGTGGAAATTTCCTGAAAGCTGTGAGTTCACGAGTTATGACATGTTTGCTGACATTTTTTGAAATGGTGGAGATCACGGAAGTTAATTTTTTGGTGGATGGTAAGTTGATTTGTAAGTTAAGTATAATTTTAGTCGTATAAAGTGTTTATACCAAATCTTATCTCATGTCTTTCTCTGTCATTATATGCCTTTGCATTTCCTGCATTACCATAGCTTGCTAAATATTTAGCCCTGTTGGCTTCTAGACGCAGACAATAGCGTCCATGTTTCTGTTGCTTAGAAGTGCGGTTCTCACGACTTGAACGCCAAACATATCATGTATACAACTCCCGTTTTTGTAACCATGAGCTCATGATTTCTATTTGAAGGCTACTGTCGGGAGTTCCACAGAAAATGAATCAGACATGCTACGTAATACAAACATCTCAACAACACATAGCTTCATTATTTATCTGTATTGTGTTAAACTCTTATGTGAACCTTAAATATGGCTGTTATTTTCCTGCTGTTGGCTGTGTTGACTTGTCAAAGTCAATAAAAAAGCTTAAATATACAAGTTATTGTTCATATGAACACGCACGCCTGAAATTTAACACAACCGAATGCAGCCTGTAAATTTACTGTAAATGAGCAGAAAGGAGGCGACATCGCTAACCATGTGTCAAAGCCACATTCAATGAAATTAAGACGCACTCATAATTTGTTTTGTGTTCTTGCATTGAAACAAAACAAAAAAGCTCCATGCGAGATGTGGGGGAACGTTAATTACAGCAAACTATTCACAATTCATTTAACAGTGCAGTATTTTGAAATGCATCAATTAGCGCCTGTAATAATGCACACAGGATCTGATCACAACCATCACTAATGGAAAGTTCACACTGTCTTCACACTATGGAGAGGGTGGGATCAAACCTCTGCTGTTATGTTTAAACAGAAGTTGAAATCCAGATTGTGTGTTCTCAGCTGTTAAAATTATGCACCTCTGAACCTCTTCATCTTTTATTATTTTACAGCTTGAAGTCACTGTAGATTAATTAAGCTTTTCACTCAACAAAGAAAGACTGTAGAAAGCAAATCCCCACTCACAAATGAATAAAACACAACACTGAATAAAAGATCACACAGATAAATCACCACTGCTGCAGACAACTGTCTCAGAAGTCACACGACATGTTAAATGAAGATTACGACCTGACAGATGAAACGGCACGAGCAATATTATAGGCCAATAATGGCTTATAATACATATGATAGAAAACTGTTTGTAGAGCACTTTCTTAACAAAGTGCTTCACAGAAAAAGTAAAACTTTGAGTTTATAAAAACAAACAATATCACAGGACATTAAACGTCTAGTTAAACTCACAGAAAAATATAACATTGCAGGAATGGAAAGGTAGAACCGGGAAAAAAAAAATAACATCAAGAGTGCATGAAGGTGTTTTTTAAAGAATGTTTTAAGAAGGGATTTAAAAGACGTAAGAGATGTAATCTGTCTTAATCTCAGTGGGTGTTCCACAGTCTGGGAGCTCTAATTGCAGAGGCCCGGTCACCTTTTGTCTGGGAATACATTTTGGAGCAAAGCTATTAGTGCTTTAAACATAATTACTAGAATTTAAAGCAGAGGTGAGATGTGTTCATATTTCTAGGTTCCAGTTATGACAGCAGTGTCGGCCGAGGGAACTGATGACTGATACCTGAGTAAAGTGCAGCGTAGAAGCTCAGCCGAGAAGGAAAAGGAGCAAACTATTTTATGCAAATTAGCAGGAGAAAAGAATGACCAAGTTTTGACATTTTCTTGAGATGAATAAAGCATGACTGGATCGTGTTCTTCTTCATCACCGAAAGAAATCTGTATCAAATAGAAAGATTACGAGCAGTCAGGTTAATGTTTTTTTGTCGAGCAACCTCTTTACGATATTAAGATCATATCTATGACTCTGAGTCTGGGCCGGGGTTGCCTACACATGCCTGTAAACATGGAGATATCTATGGAGATATTTAAGCTAGCAGCTAACAGTGCTAACAGTGCAAACAGTGCAACAATGGCAGCAGTGTTGAAAGAGCCATCAGTGTTAACCATGGGGGAACTGGAGGGGGGACACGCAGCTTAAGCCAAATTCACATTACACAATTTTCACCGTGATTTTGACGTCGCAGAGGATCTTGAGAGCCACCTTGGGTCGGAGGTGAGTCGGCAGATAGTCTGCCACGACGAGTCCTCATGTGTGAACAAGCTGGATATCTGGCATGCTAGAAAACTGGAGAAGTGTGACACGACTGACAAAGAGCATCAACCAATGAGAGGTGGGATACGTCTCACATCAGCACGCAAGAAATGTGAGGAGGACAAGCTGCAGGGTTGCCAGGTCTGCTTATTAGCCATGACTTTGGGCTTGTTTCTAAAGTGGAGTTGCTTATTTGGGCTTGCTCTCTAAACGTCACCTTCCTCTATATATATCCGTCTAATAAGTTATTTAAATGCATGATAGTCGCTTCTCTTGGGCTTGTTTCCATAGCCCTGGTTGCTTGTTTCTCTCCCAAGATCTGGCAACACTGACAAGCTGGCAAGCAACAACAACAATGGCGGCTTCCACAGGATCACAGGGAGCACGTTGTGTGTCTCCATGTGACTCCATGTGTGTGTGTGAAGAATATCCATGTCTTTATGATGTGTTGTCTCCAAGTTTGGTGACGTCACCGCATTATCTGGGGCTCTGTCGGCGAGGGCTCTTGGAGAAATCTTGTGGTGTGCACACACAGGTTGTAACGCAGTTGGCAAGACTCCCGCTGACAGAAACACACGTCGCATGTATAAACACTCAAAAGATTACGATAGTCTCCGCAATGCAAAAGCAGGGTAAAAATCGTGTAACGTGAACTAGGCTTTACAGGACAAAGCCGCTCTGATATCAGCGATAACCACCTTATAAGCACAGTGCAAAGCAACGGCATTTAGCTAGTGAGTAGGACACACACACAGGACTCACGTGCACTAATATGCACAAGCACCTGGTCCGTCAACCACAACTAAGAACAGAGAAGCTCAGATTACAACTACAACTAGAACTACACCATCTTCACATAGCATATAGTTGTTCGCTGCTACATTAACACTCTGAATGTCATCTAGAGCTCCTCTCAGACTGTTTGGTAGAATTTTCAGATCCAAATACAGTGAGCTCTAATTTGTCATCATCATAAAATCAAGGAAGTTATGAGACTAGTTCAGGAGGTAGAGTGGGTCGTCTGCTAGTCACAGGCTGGGCAGTTCGATCCCTGGCTCCTCCCGTTCCACGTCGACGTCAAACCTTGAGCACTAAATAGTAGCTCACTGTCATCACAGTGGGGCTATGACAGGCAAATTGTACAGCGCTTTGGATAAATTAATGCAGTCATCAACCACATTTTATGAGATTATCTACGCTCTTAGAATTATTGTATTTAAGTGGAACCTATAGCTGTGTGTCATCTGTGTAGAGTGACAGAGAACACTGTGGTTATCTCAGAATATTTTTATTGAGAGTCCCGGAGTAACAGGTGACATTGGCCAGTGGCAGGTGAATTTGATCAACCTACCAGTCATGGTGGTGGGTAAACTAAGTCGGGCTCCAGGTTGTTTTATTGCCATCCCAGTGATCGGCACATCTGGGTGACACTTTCGAATGTGCATTAGCATGTACAATGCGTTTCCATTTGCATACCCTACAATGGTGGAGCAACGCCGACACACACAACTCGCTCACTATCGCTGTTTGCTAACTGCACACAACAACAACAACGTACATCAATCAGCTTGTTGTGCTAACCTCAGCACATGTTGCCATTGGCATACAGCTTAAATTCCTGTGTGGAATTTGTGCACACATGACCGTACATATAATCCCTGCCGTCCAGCTCTGGCACCAGGACAGCATCCAATCAAGACAGCCTGATTTTAAGGAGGGGTCAGGAGGAAACAATAGTACTGCTGGATTCTGATGATGACTAAGGATGAAATTTAGCATTTGTGGTAAGTCTGGTGCATTTACATTGATGTTTATTGCATTAATGTTGATTAATGTGCACTGTCCCAGTTCATTAAATAAATAAATGAAAGGAAATGAAATGAGGAGGAAAGGGGACACTGTATGTGGGTGGTAGATTGTTAAAGTTCTGACTTGAGTGAACTGCTTTTTGGGTATCTGTATTTTGTTTTTGTGCATTTGTGTGTGTGTGGTGTGTGAAGGAGAGAGAATTAAAAATGGATAACCATATGTGAATAAATCAAATCAATAATTTTATAGGGAAATGCATATTAGTTTTTTTTTAAAGCAAGACAAACATTACACAAAAGTTAGTTATAGTAAAGTGCAATAACAAAATGGTGGCTGGTGAAAAATATGGGTGGGTGGTAGAATTTAAAATCAGCCACTTTGGCTGATGGAAGAAAAAGTTCATTTCCAACAATGCTGATAAATAACGAGAATTAATTGTCAGTACAGAAATGACAAATATTTGCTTGAGAAAATTTAGAAACATTGTCACCATTGTGTAGTTTGTTTGCATTTTTTCAGCTGCAAAACTTTCCGCTAAGTTGTTGTTTGTCACATTTCTTTACTGACCAAATTTAAGGACTACCTATCAAAGACATTTGTTTTATCTTAAAAAAGAATATCGTCCAATATGCTTTCAGACTATGAAATGTTGATGTAATTATCAGCCTCAAAAATAATCTAAAAAAGTAGAAGCCACAAGTTGTTCTGGACAGCAAATGTAAATGACCAAATCTACCTGAGAGCAGTCTAATAAATCATTTATTTAAAACAATCTAGTTCAGCCAGGTAAATCAGGCTCTCTTATCTGTATGTTTATTGTCTTCATTTCAGTGTAGCCATAGTTCACTTACATCCAAATGAATGACGATATCATGTCAGCTTCGCCCCCGCTCTGACCTTGCACACATAACAAGCATTGCGCATGATGTTCTTAGTGACTGCACTCTTAAAATAGAGGCCTGTGTATCTACAAGAAAATTAGAATTCAGCTCACACAGCGACAGTAATCTCAAGGAATGTGTGTCTTTGGCAAAATTTGTCTCTCATTAAGGCAATTTTTCTTCTTTAGAGATTTACCTCACAGTTAAATACAGTGCGCACTGTGGTGTCTTCGGCTGTGACAGGTGTGTAGGTGTGAAAGCAGCCAACTCCCGATGAAGGTCACACGGACTAAAAGGCTCCGTTTCATTAATCTATTCATCTATCTATCTCCTCATCTATTAGGAAGCAGCAGTGTGTGGGTGTTTGTTCTCTTAGCTTGTTTTACAAATTAAACGACAGGATCACACAAGGTTTAAATCACCAATTATCTTTGTTTTCAGCTCAAATCACTGAAAGAACACAGATGATGTTGGCATCATGTGAATGGGTTTACATGTCAGGTCACTTTGATTAAGAAAGCACTTTTAATAAACAAATAAATATCTTTACCGACACCAAAGAATACAAAAATGATCTAAACAAGTGTGAGACATGAAGCTAGTGCAGGATTTTTCTTTCATGTGCAGTTAGTGAGTATGAGTGTGTGTTCTTATGTTAGGGTGGCTTCCTGACAGCTTACCCAGACACTGAAACTTGTCGGCGGGAGTGGTGAGCAACAGCTTGCCCTCCATGCCGCGGGGTCCGGCACAGCGGGCGATACCGGGCTCCTTATAGCCGCTCTTCACCCAGTCAGACAGCCAGAGCAGACGGCAGTCACAGTACAGAGGGTTGGCTCCAATCGCTCTGATAGAAGGAAATAAACAAAGAGTCAGCTCTCTGACAGAGCCAAGGCTTTCTGGTGTAGAGAGAAAGGAAAAGGGAAAGGAAGGAAAAAAGGTAGGAAGGATAAGGAGGTGAGAAGTGTATTAATTATAGAGGCTGGGAAACAAAAACCAGAGGGAGACGGAAAGAAAGAAAAGTAAAATGAAGAAAGAAAAGAAAGGAGAAAGAGAGAAAGGGCAAGGGGGAGATGGAGAGGGAGAGAGGAAATAATATAATGGGAGAAAGAGGGAAAGGAGAAAAGTAAAAGAAGAGATGAGAAAGACGGGATGTTGGAAAGAGGAAATGTAGGAAAGGCAGATTAAGAAATGGTAGGAGAAAGTAAAGGGAAAGAAAATGATAAATTAAAAAGGTAAAGATGCTGGGGAAAGAAAGGAAATGAAATAAAAAGGAGGAGAAAATGAAGCTGGGTTAAAAAGAAAGAAAGAAAGAAAGAAAGAAAGAAAGAAAAAAAAATGGACAGATATACGGATAGAGAAACAAACAAACAAAGATGGAGACAGAAAGAAAAAAGAAAGAAAGATAGATGAAAGAAGGAAAGAACAAATGAAAGAAAGACGGACAGACAGACAGATTGATAGAGAAAAACAAACAAACAAAGGTGGAGACAGAAGGAAAAAGACAGATAGATGATGGAAAGAGCAAAAGAAAAAGAAAGAAAGAAAGAAAGAAAGAAAGAAAGAAAGAAAGAAAGAAAAATGGGGACAAAAAAGACAAAAGAAAGCAAGATAGATGAGAGAACAAAAGAAAGAAAAAAGAAAGAAAGGATAAAGAAAGACTGATGGAAAGAGATAGATAGATAGATAGATAGATAGAGAAAGAAAGAAAGAAAGAAAGAAAGAAAGAAAATTCAACACATCAACAAATCTGCACTAATTTTTAAAGCCACATGGTGGAGCTCTCAGTCCTCACAGCTCTGTTCAGCTACAGACAGTGACACAGACAGTGACACACACACACACACACACACACACACACACACAGAACAAGGTCATATGAGAGAATATTCAATTCTTCTTGATCAATTTATCTCCGTCAGGAACAAGTGATGAGGATGAAAACACCCACACGTGATGTCATGTCACCACATCTGGATCACCTCCAGTCACACTGGACCTCTGAGTGTAAATGCTGAAACAATGGGAAACCTGTGAAACTCCTGTCCAGTCTATCGCTGACAGACATGTCATCCATGTTGTTCTGTCACGGGACGTAGTGACTTAAAGCCACAGTGAGTAAGAAGTTTAAATATTACCTGTAATTTGTTACACTATGAGTGGAGAAAAAGTCAGCCAGCTGCTGGGATAATAAGGCCTTCCTGTCAGAAAGCCCAAAGTAAACTTAACTACACCTAACCAATTACAAATATTTTAAATTATTATATGCTGTTTCTATATTTAAGAGCCAAGGGAAACAGAGAGGAGTGGCAAAAAAACATCAAAAGTCCAAAAAAAAAGTCCATCTTTGCACCAGAATTGGTTCCACAAGATTATTTTACAGTCTGACTCATTATCCTGACTGGCAGGATTTGATTTCAGAATTGATTTCACGCATCAGAAGACAAAAATAAAAATACTCCCTCCCTCCTCCTGCCCTCAATCACTTCTTCTCCTCCTCCCTTTCTTATTCCTCTTCATCTTCAACCTCCCCTCCAACATCCATCTACCCCTCCTCCCTCCACACTTACTGTAGACCCTCAGATTGACTCACATGGGTCATGCTCGACTGAGGATGATTATATTGTATATGCAGACACACACACACACATACGCACGCACACACACACACGGCTCAGATCAATAGACCCATGGGAAACGATGGATCTCTCACTCCAGCTAATTCAATCCACCAAGCAACCACTTGAAACCACTCACTCTCCAAGAACTGGACTCCATCTGACTGGAGCTATAAAGGCAGGGGGAGGAACACACACACACACACACACACACACACACACACACAAGCATGCACACAGACCTCATTCTGTCAGCGAGGCCAGACCCTGCTGTCCGTTACACTCAGCTGCTGCTGTCATTACTCATGTACATGTGTGCGTACTACATATATATTTGAGTGCTTACAGGTGAGACAGAGAGGCCACGTCGCTGAAGATGCCCTGCTGCAGCTCGGAGATGTCGTTGCCATGGAGAGAGCTGAAAGACGGACACAGCGGAGGGTAAAAAACGGTCAAACTGAACAACCCAGAGACCACAATGGCTCTGAGAGGCAGCAACAGGGGAATATTTAAAGACCAAAAACAGATGATGGCTCGAATAAAGCGAGGGGACGACAGTGATGTGGTCTGGTCAGTGACAAGTATAGTGTAGTGTTTGTGAGTGTGTGTGTGTGTGTGTGTGTTTGCTCACAGCAGTCTCAGGGAGCGCAGGCCACCCAGGGCCAGAGGAGGGATACAGCGTAGAGAGTTGTAACTGAGGATCCTGCAGGGGGAGAAACAACATAACAATGACAGTTCAACCTCTAAGATACAGTCGGTATTAACACACTGTGCTGCTGCTACTGCAACTGCATACAGTTGTCACTGCTTGTGCTCAAGCGGCAACTTTAGGGGCTGAAAAATGAAGCAAACATGGAAGTGCTGAAGAGTTCAAAAACAGTGCAGTTCGTTGAACAACCACTTGAGGCTGGCTCCATTAAAGGGATAGTGCACCCAAAAATGAAAATTCAGCCATTATCTACTCACCCATATGCCGACGGAGGCCCTGGTGAAGTTTTAGAGTCCTCACATCCCTTGCGGAGATCGGCGGGTGGAGCGGCTAGCACACCTAATGGCAGACGGCGCCCCAGACTAATGTCCAAGAACACAAAATTGAATCCACAAAGTACCTCCATACTGCTCATCTGTAGTGATCCAAGTGTGCTGCAGCCCCGACATAAAAAGTTGTTTGGAAAAACGTCATATGAACTCTGTTTTTAGCCTCACTGTAGCCTGTAGCTCTGACTGCTTCTCTGTGCTCTGCTCTCATGTGTGCGCTCTCAGGGTGATCGGTGATGCACGGTCTCTGAAGAGCACCAGGTTTCCAGTGCTCGACTCCGGTATTCTGCGGCTGGCTGAGGCTCATGAGCTGCAGCGGCTGCTTCATCCAGTAGCCTGAGTTCCGTCCGTATACTCGGGCTCAAACAAATACGGCTCAACAAAGAAATGCTGTTCCTCTTCAATTTCAAAGTCTTCAGACATGTTGGGCTGTCCTTTGCTAAAAGACCGTAGTGCAAATTATCTTTTAGCTCTGTGGTTACTGCTGTCTCCCCCTGCGGTGCACGTGTCACGTGATGTAAACACGGGTGAGCAAAGCTCATGCTTTCGCTGGTCTCACGCAAGCGCGCACACGTGAACGCGGAGCACAGAGAAGCAGTCAGAGCTACAGGCTACAGTGAGGCTAAAAACAGAGTTCATATGACGTTTTTCCAAACAACTTTTTATGTCGCGGCTGCAGCACACTTGGATCACTACGGATGAGCAGTATGGAGATACTTTGTGGATTCAATTTTGTGTTCTTGGACGTTAGTCTGGGGCGCCTTCTGCCATTAGGTGTGCTAGCCGCTCCCCCCGCCGATCTCCGCAAGGGATGTGAGGACTCTAAAACGTCACCAGGGCCTCCATCAGCATATGGGTGAGTAGATAATGGCTGAATTTTCATTTTTGGGTGCACTATCCCTTTAAGGGGGATTTATACTTGTGCAACAGATACTATGCCGTAGCCTACACAGGTGGCTAACGCCATTGTGATTCCACCCCACAAAGTTCACTGACAATACTGTCTTGTACTTTATACGTTTGTGTGTCACTCCCCACAGACCTCCGTGTTAAAATGGCAAACTTAACTGCAGAAATAAACATGTTAACAGCCTGGTACAAAAAACAGTTTTGCTCTCTATAAGTAACTTCACTCTTCATGACAGCTGTTTTTTTTTTTTTTTTTACATTTTAGTAAGGCTTACAGTTACACATAATTAAGGGCAGGCAACTTTGAGTAACAGGCTGTCTGCAGATACTGTCTCTCCCCCAAATATGGTCTCTTCTGGCCCCAAAAAAAACAAGATGGCCACAGCCAAAATGCCAAAGTTGGGGCTTTAAAGGGCCAGTTTGTAGGATGAAGGGGATATATTGGCAGAAATGGAATATAATATAAAAAGTATGTTTTCTTTAGTTTTCTAATCACCTGAAAATAAAAATCCCTGTGTTTTTGCTACCTTAAGCCCCATTTCCACCAAACACTTTCAGTATGGTGCCTTTGGAACCAAAAGTAACCCTTTATACATGGCACTTAGTCCCTTGGTCTTCCACCACAGTGGAAACGGAAAAAAAAAGTACTGAACTGAACTATATCGAACTGTACGGCTTGGTGGAAACACGGCTTTAGAACAAGCTGATTACAGTATATACCTACAGGGTCCTCGTCTATTGGCATCACCACGTTGCACGGCCATGTTTCTACAATAGCCCAGAAAGGACAAATAAAACTCCAGCTCTAGAGAGTGTCATTTGTATTTTCGCATCAGCCACCACAGTTAAAAGCCCTTCTACAACAAGCAGGGATTGAAAAACAAAGATTTTTGAATGTAAAACAGTATTTTCACCAGTTTTAATCACCTCCACTTGTTTCGGAGAGGAAGAGGCCTCTTTGGATAATTCAGCTCACAGTTAAAACCTCCTGAACATCTACATCTTAAGTTATTAGAGAAATAAGGTGAGCACCCATTTGCAGGTGCTAGGCTAACAGCCCGTCTGTGACTAGACAAACAGAAACACTGATTTATGATGTGAAACATGAGATAACAGATAACAGAATATGACTTTAGTGGTTGCCAGTGAGTATGTTTAAATGCACAGTTAAGTGGAGCTATGGTTATAGCTGTATGTATTTGATTTACTGACCAAAGTATGTCCTACTCTGCTACGATAGGTGGCGACATGCCCCCTTTCAGCTTGTTAGTATTGGACCTTTTGCTGGTTGACCTATTACATCACAGTCTAAACAATCGACAAACAAGTTAGCTATGGTTAGCTCACAGCCAACCGGTACCATGGTGGACAACTTTACATCTCTGTACATTTCGTCTGTCCAGAAATGCACAGCTCTGGATGTAGATTTCACCATGTTGTTACCAGGTATTTAATGCTATTTGACTTGCAGGTCAAAGCGCTGGGTGGAAACTGTGAAGCATGCTCAGAGCGCCTCAGCCAGTTTAGGTCTGATTGACTGTATACATGCAGGAGGAATTCAGCTCACAATCACTAGGTGTGTTAGTCCGACTTTGAGAAATTTGATTTAGCACAATTTCAGTCAGACCAACATGTTTTCATGTATTTTTAAAGTCCGGTTTTAGCCAAAATAACACAATAAATCGATTTTCATCATACACTGGTATACCTAACTGTACTTTGACTTAATGTTAGTAAGTGTGGCCAAAAGAATTCACAATAGCTATATTGCAATAATTTATATTTAAATAAATTTTAAAAAGAAATAAAAATGCTATGTTACAGTTATCATCAATTCCAGTGTATTGCGACACCCTACACATGCACATTATTTATTCTATCCTGTTTAAATTACAGTTTATTCATTTGTGTCACAACTGCACACTGTGTCCTAAATATCTTTTCTACTTCCGTGTTTCTTCTTCTTTTGTTTTTTTACATTTTGTCGAAGCATTGATGGAGGGAGCATGAGAATAAAGAAGTTCATTGCCAAAGAATGTTCCCCTGTAATTGCTGTGCATATGATAAATATAGACTTTAACTCTGGATCTAAGCCCGCTTTATCATAATTTACATCTTGAATTACCTCAATAAAGTGTGATTTATTTTATGGTTTTTGGTCTAATATATATACATACCTCTCCTTATTTCAAGGTTCACAAAGAAAGGAAACTGCCCGAAGATTAATTTTGTAATCATTTTTTAAACATGAAGTAAAAGGTTGTATCGTAAATGCAAGATTTAAAGTTGAAAACTTGATTATGTTTCCTCTCTAACTGACTAAATTAAAGTTAAATTCATGTCTATGATGATTAAATTTCTGTAATAAACAAGGTTATGACCCTTGACCCCTTGACCTCTGACTGCTATGAATCCGTGTATGTGTCAAAAGAACTGATGAAACTCTTGTCAAAGGTAAATCATTTAAAATGTCTGCTGCCTTCATGTGTTGTTATGATTTCAATTAATCATTCATCTAAATCTGGTAAATTTAGCTTTTTCTGGCTTCAGAACATCAATTAAGGGTAAAAGTCTTCTTTAATATTTGATAAAGGACATTTGTAAGTGTGTGTGTGTGTGTGTGTGTGTGTGTGTGTGTGTGTGTGTGTGTGGACTCACAGAGTGGTGAGCTGGCTCATGTTGGAGAAGGAGTCATCGGAGAGGGAGCTGATTTTATTGTTGCTCAGATCTCTGCAAAGGCAAAGATCAAATTATATCAATACACACACACGATACACTGCAAGGGTACCATTAGATACCCAAACCAAACAGCCACACACACAAACACACACACACACACACACACACACACGCACACACACACACACACACTATTACACACTGAGATCTCTCTCCATAACATAAACACTCTCACACAGACACACACATTCTCCCCATCAGTATATCTTAAAATACTGTTTAACACTGAATTGAGTTGATCACATGACAAAGTTTACCTGTATGTCTGTTTGTGATAGATAAATAAATAAATAAATAAACACATGGAGCTTTTTGGTATAAACTGGACTTCGCTCCACACGTTTAACTACACAGTCCACAGCTCCCCCTGCTGGATATGTTCATGAATACAGTGACCATGAGGTTTGTCTGCACATGCAGCTCTTTTGCATCCAGTATACTTCAATCATGCCAAAATTTGAGATTAATAATAAAAAATGAAGCTGTAACTATGAGGCTGAAGTGTTGAAGCTCGTGTTTTAATTCCAGGACAGTGTTTCCCAGAGGTCTGAAATATACTTGTAGTGCTGGTGCAAAGAGCCGGTATTACCTGCAGGCTCAAAAACAGTTGACTACATGTAACAAAAACAAGTATGTGTGACCTTAAACATAATATTTTGGTTTACTGAATTTTAAGGTTTTAAGGACAAAATAGACCCAACACCAAAACCATTGCTGCAGAGAGTGACCCGGTGTTGTGTCAAAAACTGTTTCCCAGTGATATGTGTTTCCCTCGTCCTAAATCCAAACCAACCACAGAGGTTGGGACTATGGGAAGCATCACTATAAAAGGAGGGAAACAGACTTCGACACAACACCAACCCTCTGGCGCGCTTCTGCCTTGGCCACGGCAGCAGACCAACAGGTACAGAAGGGGTGGAGTGAGGGGAGGTTGTCCACTCACCTACAGATGGTGTAGTTCTCTTGGACAGTGGGTCGCCATATACAGGGTTCCCACACATTTTAACCAATGAGTTTTCAAAACTTTTCTGTCATATTTTATCTAATTTCCATGACTTTATTGAAGTAGTTTAAAACAGGTAAGCAGATTACTGGGTATGGAAATGGATCGTTGGTTGAAATTATACATGCTTGCCATGGTGGTAGAGTACGTAACAGTAACGTAATCAGGCCTGGCTACATTAGATCACCCAGCACAGCTCAGCTCTGCCTCCGTCTTGAGTCATGTATCATATTTGTCATTTGAAAGGCATATTTAAGCCATTATTAAGCATGCATTTCCCAGGCATTTGTGAATAAGCAAACTGCTAGCTCTTGCTAATTAATTAATTAATTATGGACTGGATGGCTAGTAACTTTCTTCAGTTGAATGCAGCCAAAACTGAAGTATTAATTGTTGCCCCTGACATCTCAGCTTCTTAAGTGGCCAGCTGCTTAGAGTTCCTTACTACATACAGTATGTGGGCACCAGTTTGAGAAACCTTGGGGTCATATTTGACCAGGCCATGCTTCTTGATGAGCACATCCAAACTATAACTCGCTCCTGCTTTTTCCACCTCAAAAACATTTCCAAACTCAGATCCATAGTATCTCATTCCGAGCTAGAAATGATCATCCATGCTCTTGTTTCCTCACGTCTTGACTACTGCATTTCTCTCTTCACCTGTCTCAACAAAACTTTATTAGACTGCCTCCAATTAGTCCAGAACGCTGCCGCTAGGTTTCTGTCTAGATTTCACAGATTCAGTCATATCACTCCTGTTTTGGCGTCCTTGCACCGGCTTCCTGTTAATTTCAGGATTCAATACAAAATTCTAACTATCACTTAGAGGGCCCTCCATGGTCATGCCCCTGCATACTTGGTAGATCTTGTGTCTTATCACTGTCCTGTGAGGTCACTGCAGTCTGCTGACTGCCTTCTACTTGCTGTCCCTCAAACAAAATTAGAAACTAAAGGTGATAGAGCCTTTGAGTCCATTGCTCCTAAATGGTGGAATGCACTTCCATATGAGCTTAGAGCTGCCTCTTCTGTGGATATTTTTTAAAAGGCAGTTAAAAACACATCTGTTTAGGCGTGAGTTTCAGCAATATTCTACTGTATTGTCTGTATTTCGTTAGATTTGTTTGTTTTGTTTTGTAATTAGTTTTATGTATTTGCTATGTTTTGTTTTTTGATTATACTATATGCTGATATTTGATTGTATTTTTTGTTTCTTAACCATGTGAAGGACTTTGTGAGTCCTCTCTGTGAGAAGTGCTATATAAAAAAAATGTACTTACTTACTAACGTTACTTGCTCATTAGACATTCCCGTGATTAACTAGCTGCATACACCAACATGTATCATGTGATACCAGTGGCATTTCAACAGTCACGCAACACAGCTTTACATTTTAAATCAGTAATGCAGGGAACATTTTTCACAGAACTTTAGACATATTTTCCAAAACATCTTGTTAATGTCAAACTGTTTTCAGGCCTTTTTTTTATTTCAGAACTTTTCCAGGAATTAAATGACAGTGGGAACCCTGCAGATATTTTTACCTCGGCGGCCGGTCAAGTAAAGTCTCTGCGTGGGAAACCCTGCAGGGTGTTCACATCCAAATCAGGTGTGCTTTGTAGGAACTGTAGCCTTTCCCCCCAGTTTTAGGAGACTAAAATGCTAGGAAACATTTTGAAAAAGTTAAATAAAGATGTTACATTTATATTTTCTTGTACCGACTTAAGTCTTTGACCCACAAACATCAGCAGACTGACAGTCATGTGTATTATACAGCCAGCTTCACCTACTGTATTGCTTGTTTTTGGGGCTTTTACCTTCAGTCTGATCTCTAGCAGAGGAATGTCTGACATATATCATATGGACTGAGGTCATTTAATAAGCGGGGCAATGGTATGACTGTAGGAGCTTTCTAACATGAGTTATGAGTCTTACACTCCTCACTGTTAAAGCTAAAAGTCAGCACTTATACCCCGTAATCTTTGCTTCACTTCAAATCCAGTGCGCAAGAGTAGATACACAACAATAAAAATGTGTCAGCATAAGCGCCCTGTACCACAGCAAAATAACTCCTTTGCTAAATGCGGATGTGTTCATAGAGGCAGTGGAGCAGAAAGGTGTAATTAGAATTACTGCTCACAGTGTCAGTGGTTATAATAGAGTGTCAGTAGAGTGACTGCAGATGTGGCTGTTAGTGGAGTGCGAGGTTTTGTGTGAATGGAGTGTTTAGTCGAGTGGCTCTTACACAAGCTGCAGGTATTTGAAAGTGGCTAACTCCTTAGGAACACTGGTGAACTGGTTACCATCCAGATACCTGAGAGGACAAGAGAGGGAGAGAAAGAGGCAGTTACTGTGCTGTGCTGCTAAATAATAATTAACATCCTCCATTCAGGAAATTCTGAGGTCATTTCACACATTATCATGTCTTTACAAGCTCAAGAGGTTTGTGATTGAATGATATTAAATCAGCATGTAACACTTAATGACAAGTGCCTGGTTACTGCAGAAAAACAATCAGAGCATTGAAAGATGCATTTTTCAAACATAATTTAAATCTATCCGTCAGTATTACACTGCGTACGAGCTACCTTAGAAATCTATAATTACAACCTTTCATCAGAGAAGATAAACATGGCTGATAAGATCATTACATCTTTTACTCTACCTAATTACGCTGCCTTACAGCGTATCTTATGTACGGCTTTATGTCAGTGTCTCTTAAAAAAAAAAAACATCTCAGGGATTATCTTTTAGCTTTTTAATGGATTTAACATGTGTGACAGTTTTTCTTTTCTTTCTTGATGATGATGTAGAAACTGTGGTTATTCTTAGGGTTGATTTTATGGACTGTCTTTTGGCTCTACACAGGAACAGTGTTGGTGCTGTTAACACGCTGCATTTGTGTGTAACCCAAGTAATGTAACGCGCGTTACATTACTTGGATTCAGTGGGAGAAATCCCTCTGATTGGCAGTTCAGCTCAGCGCACAAGAAGAGAAACAGAAGTGAGGAAAGAAAACAAATGACTAAGGTCCAGAGGGTGTGAGATCAAAACAACATTACATATTAGGTAAGATATTTTTTCAACAGCGGGTTGTGTTGTTAATGTGTTAACTGGCTAACTAGTGTTTTGAGCCCATCCTGTTGGTCCTCTGGTTTCCCTTTTTGAATGATGCATACAAACTATCACGTCTGCTATAATAGAGAGTTGCTTCCTCTCACGCAGACGCAGCACCTACATGCTAGTTGACCGCTGGCTGTAGACTTTGCAGCATGTTCAAGTTCAACTTCATGGTCAAGACACGGCGACGTGAGGCGAGGCAACAATTGGCCTTCATCGCCACTAGTCCTTGATGTTGGTTTCCTCTGTCTTGGTCTTTACTGTCCCTAAATTCAGTAATCACATTACAGTTACTAATCAAACAATTATGTTGTTACTTAAGTTCTTCAATTAACTGCATAATGGACGGATAAGAAAAATGTATCATGAAATACGCAGAGAGCAGTAACGCCATCCAGTGCACCGTGAAGAAGCTCCGCAGCCTGGGCGGTCTGTGCTGACTCTGAAGAAGAACAGGTTGTCTGACAAACAATATGAGAGGTACCTTCTCATGATGTGTCACCACTGCTTTAGTGATAATCACGTCAGATAAGCTGGACCAGTGTGCTATAAAGCCGTGGTTTGGCGAGCAAGCGAGCTATGGATGTACTATTTTGAGACAATTATCTGTACATCTGTGCTCAGCGACATTAGGAAGGGTAACCTCTTTTATATTGTTGAAGCTCTACTTTTATTTTGAGACAGTTATGACCTAATGCAGTGCTGTCTTTCTCCTGATCCTTGTTTTGTGGGGAGTAACTAAGTTAAGTAATACATTACTTCTCTAAGCAACGACCCCAATGCTACACAGGAGAGGCAAGCAGTGGGCAAGTAGGATTTGAAGAAGCAGTGGACTGAAGTCCCTGACAGTAACAGCACTGAAGATGATGTGGAAGCAATTTAAGTCGAAAATGCTGCATTTGTTCTTTCAGACTCACAGTTCAGTGACGTTGCGGGGGAGTCCTCTGGGCAGAGCCTGCAGGTGTTTGTTGCTGCAGCGGACCACTGTGTCCATACAGGTACACTGGCTGGGACACTGAGGCCCCGGGGCACAGCTGCTGTCCTCCAGAACAGAGCCTGGACAGATGGCAGACAGTGAGGTGGGGGCACAGTAATAAAATGTTGATGTCAAAAGGAGATATTTTATATAATGTGGCTGTAAGGTATCATATCGCTGCTGTCCTGCACTTTGATCACATTCCTGTCACAGTCTATTCCTGTTTATATCAGAGTGTGTGTATCTTACCATCCTCACAGCGGAAGTCAGGTACAGCAACATCCTGCAGGGGGATCTCTCGGAGGAAGGCAGGACCCTGGCAGCGAGGATTCCCTGTCACGATTCGTCGGCTCCGAAGCCACGCACCAAACCAGGACAGACGGCAGTCACAGTTAAAAGGATTTGCCAGAAGATTCCTGACGGACAGAGGAGATTTAGAGTAGGAGGCAAAGAGGGTAACAACGAGACAACAGAGATCCATGTTTGTGTGTGTGTCACTAACAGTGTGGAAAGGTTGGGCAGGGTGTCGAAGGCTCCAGGCAGGATGGTGCTCAGCTGGTTGTCGTAGAGGGAGAGCAGCCTGACGTTGCTCAGACCTGTGAAGCTGCCGTTATGGATGCAGCTGATCTTGTTGTTCCTCAGCATCCTACACACATACACACAAAAAAATACACAAACATTCGGATTTTAGTCTTATAAAACTGAACTGTTGGAGTGCTTCCACTGCAAAGAATTTCATAGGCTGTTAGACGAGGGGATTAATACTAACTTGACTGATGAATCTGGTTATGTCGTGCAATTTTAGGTCCTTGGTAGGTCGACTTTTAGGGGTACTTCTTTTAGTTTATTTTCTTCTATCATCTTATATTTCTTATATTATGTCCAGTCTACTGTTTCATTGTTTTTTCTGTGTTGTTGTGTTGTCATAGACTGTATAAAAGAACTGGATGTAGCCACCCTGGCACCACCAACTGGTTTGTGGACTACTGTTTTGAAGCCTCAGGTCTGACATCTTGGCCCTCATCATCTTGGTTTTTTGATGCCAAAAGTGACAATATTTGGATGAGAGGATGGAGCTGTCCTGATTGACAGGTCGCCGTGGTAGCGATTTGACTCAAGCTACCCTGCTTTATCGTCTATTTTACTCTCAACAGGACCATCATTTATAAAGTGAACATCATGCTGCATTAAAGAAGACTTGAAACTAGCAATTGAGACAAATGTTTCAGTGAGTAGGAGGCCATATTTAAATGGACTGCCTTGCTGTGAGAATGCGCTCTGATTGGTGTGTGACTGATTGGAAGCAATGATCCAATCAGCTGGGGCGTATGACTTCTGTCCTGCATGAATTAACACAAAGCCTAATTTACTGAGGTAATAAATCAAATGAGAAGTAGGGTCCTTCTCTCACAGACTTCTATACATCAGACTTTTTTATGCAACCAGTGGAGTCGCCCCCTGCTGGCCATTAGAAAGAATCCAGATTTAAAGCGCTTCTGCACTGGCTTCATGTCTCCTCAGGGATTTATGCAGTCTACGTTTATTGACCATGGTCTGCTTTTGTACACAACATTCCCTGCCCCAGTCAAATATACTTGTATACTTATGAACATGACTTGAGAATTGTCCGTCACTCAGGACTTCTGCATCTCATTAAACCACAATTTTAATTTGTTTTTACTTTGTCTCTTTCTCTGTGTTGACATCTGTCTAATGTCTTTAGAGGTCTATTGGGCAACATACTTTACTCTCCACAATGTTTAATGATGATGAATATTAGAAGAAGAGTGTGAAGTGAACTCACAGCATGCGCAGTCCCTCCATGCCTTTAAACATGCTCCCTCTCACAGACTCCAGGTGATTGGCTGTCAGGTGAAGCTCCACCACTGAGGACGCACCTTCAAACGCCCCGTCTTCAATCTCTGAGATCTTGTTGTTGCTCAAGTTACTGGAAAGAGGGAAGGCAAAATGTTTTCTACAGTCTCAGGTTTTCACACACTGTTTTATTATCACGAGCACCACTCTTACAGATTCAAGACAATGCACTCAATGTGACTAGATATAATCAATTAGCGAAATAAAGGCTGCTATTTTGTTTTGGCGTCTTTAGGCAAAAATCCCATAATAAACTTTGAGTATATTGTAATTCAAGTGGCCTGAGAGAAAACTAGACTTTTGCTCCTCCTCTTGGCTCTGTTTTTGGGCTTTAGAAACTCTAGGCTGTGACCAGAGTCTATGGTCAACCACAGGTCATTTCAGAGAGAAAATGTTCCTATTGCCTGTTGTACAAATAACGATGCACATGCACATCCCAGGTCGTTAAAGCCCTATTCGATGGCAGAGAGCGCTGCATAATAAGTTGCTGTTCAAGCACTGGCAACAACTGCCTACACTGCAAAACAACTCAAAAAGAATGACGGACTTATCAAAAACATAAGCCCCTTTTACACTGCCAGATCTTCCATGAATGTTGGGCCGTTTTGCCGGCAAGCTGCGAGCGTTTACACACACACAGAGCTGGATTGGCGAGTTGATCCGAGGTGCCCAATTTTCCGCCTCGTAGGGTAGACATATTGACGGAACCCTTTTAGTTTAAACAGACCGAGGCGGCCTTCCGCAACAGGAGGGGCTGTTGAAGACTTGTGGGAGGGGCTGTTGATGACGCCGCACATGCGACCCACTGGCGGTGGATAAACAGGAAACAGCTGATAGCAGGAATTAGCGAGCAGCTAGTAGCAAGAGGGAAACACACACCTGACAGACACTGTAAAGATGAGCCCTCTTTGCCCTCGCAAACGAAGAGGCCATTAACCATTAGATGATGGGGACGGTGAAGTATGGGCCGACTTATGAGAGAACTGCCGAAGGACTGACCAGCTGTGGCTTCCCCCCATGTCACTGGTTATGGTTATGCACGTTTTGTTACTTGCTCACGCCCCCCATTGCCCTGAAAAAGGCGCATTCTGTATCAGCAAAAGTAGGTAGGTGGCATTTTGCCGCACTCCCCAATTTTGTTTTTATACTGCGAATGCTGAAAGAAGACTGATTGGGCTTTCCTGCAAATTTGCACAACTCCTGTTTAAAAAAGGCTTTAGCCTAAAAGAAAGTTTGACAATAAACAAAATAAAACGTGTCAATATTGACAAAGTGTTTCAGAGATAGAGAGAAGATGATGCTAATAGTTTAGCCTTCAGCTAATCAGAGCGAAAGACTTACGGCTACAGCCTGAAGTTCATGTTCATGTTGCTAACATTGAATCAAAGTGTGTTCTCAGACTCATTCACTGCCGCTACAGACCATCTAACCAGCAGGAGAACAGCGAACAGCCCTGAAGACAGATCCCCAGTCAGCATCTGTAGCAACTCAACCTCAGCAAGAGCCAAGGATCCAGGCTACTCGGACATCCTGACTCTGTTGCTGATGTAAGGGAAACACTTGGTTACTGTTTGAAGTGTGTGCATATGGCCCTACTTGTCTGGTGGGTGGGGCTTAGGACAGAAGGCGGGAGAGATGAGCTGCAAGAGGAGGGTGTATTTTTGCCCCTTTCAGGAAAGTGCATACCCCAGCTTTAAGGTGATAATAAAGGCCACACAATGAGAACTCCTGGAAGACTGTTTTGATGATTGAATGGATATTCGTCATTGTTGAGGTTTTCTGAGTGACCTACATTTTCTTGAGCTGCGACAGGCCCTTGAAGGCACCGGTGGCCTCCAGCACGGAGAGGTCGTTGTTGTTGAGACGCCTGGGACGGTCACAGACAGTGGACATGAAGAGGACAGGGCGAAAACATCATTAGCAGAAGAGTCGGTTTGGAATGTGTTTGAGTGTGCATCCATGCAGTATGAGTCCATACAAGACATGTCAACACGGATATCCATAAAGTGCTTGTGTGTGCACTCATATGTCTGTGTAATGTATGTACATGCATAGAAGTGTAATCATGAGGAGGTCTTGCAGAGTATGGCTTTAACACTGAGGTTCCCACAGGAGCTGGCTGTGCGAAAATGCACGCACTTTGAATAAAAGCATCCCCTGAATAGAATATGGCACACTGTAACTGTGAATACTGGAGCCAGACTGATATATGAGCAAGGCCGACAGCTTCAGCTGATACTGGCTAACCTCAGATATATTGGTATTGGTGCTGAAACACTTACAAGAAGGAAAATTTGATAATCAACTCATTGTTTAAATCATATATCAAGCATGTGTGTTGTTTTTCTTTCTTTCGTTGATGTATCTTGTATCTTTTAAACCGTGTGTCCTGTTTATCTGTCTTTTGCTTTTCTTAACACCTTGGCCAAGTGACTACAGATAGCCTCAAAATAGCCTCTTGGATAACTTGGCATTTTTATACTGTGTGTTGCGTGTTAATTTACAATGTCCCTTCTGAAATAAAATAAACTGACACCAAAACTGAAGTAAAATCAACAATCATTTACAGGTCACATCTTCTCAAAAGTAGGGATTTCCTGCTTTTCTTTGTATTGTGTCATTGTAAATTTCATATTTTGGACTAGTCAGAACAAGCAGCTATTTAAAGAGGTCCTCTTTGGCTCAGGGAACTTCTAACGGGTATCTTTAACATTTTAGAAACTAAAAAAAGAAAAATCTGGTGAATTGATGATGAAAATTATCATTAGAGCCAGCTCTAATCAGTATGTTTGTATACTGTGTGACACCCCCCTGCTTCAGCAGGTCCTGGTAGGCGGAGCTAATAAGTGCAACTGTGAGCACCTGGACAGTCTCTCAGGGGAAGCTTATTTAAGACCTGGCTGTTAAGTCAGTTTTTCTCTCTCCTTTCATCCGGCTGTTTAGTTGGCTTCAGCCTGGTTTCTAGTCTAAGTTCCACACCATGCAACACCTTGCATACATCACCCACTCACCCACCCACACACTCATGCATCTGCTGACACACTGAGACACAGATTCACACACCTTATGACATTACAATGTATTTCAAATTCTCTTTTGTTACACATAAATTGGTGCACCTTTCAGTTTAAGACGGTGTCTCTCATGGCTTGTGAGCCGGGTCATGACAAGTGTACGTAAGCAGATAAGGAAAAAAAACTGCAATGCATTTAAGTGCTTCAATAAAGGGTTTACAAACACTATTTTTATGTACATTTCATCCTTACACTTTTTTATCTGTTTATTCTTTTGTACAAACTTAATTATGATTGAAGGTAAGAGTTTAAACTTTAGTGTTACTTTCATCTTTGGTAATAAAGTTTTTGTTCAACTGTAAAATATCCTGCCTCTTATGTATCTTCATCACAACTGCTTAATAAACAAATTTGTCTGTTGTCTGTTTGAAATGTCTTGTTTATGTTCAGTATTCATGAAAAAGAAACAACAAAGTTGATGTTTTAGTCTCAGCAATACTGTCTGCTAAACAGCTATCTGATTTGTATCATTTTTAAACACTGGTACCGGTATCAGCCTCAAACTTCCAGTGTCAGCAGGACTCTAATTATAGACTGTGCATGTGTTCTGTGCAGGTGTTTGAGTGTCTCACAGCTCTTCGGTGGAGGACGGCAGGTGTTCAGGGAACTTGGTGAGGCGGAGGTTGGAGCAGTCGACCACGTTTGCCTCACAGCGACACTTTGCAGGACACACCGGCTTACTGTTGCACTCGTAGCTCAGACGCCTGTCCTCAGTACCTGGGCATACAGACACAGACACAGAGGGAGGACAGAAAAAAAGGACTCAGGAGAGATTCAACATACCTTTCACAACAACATTAAGACATGCAGTTGGAGAATTAAGTTTTATATATGTTATATATATATGTTTTTAACAATGCATCTGATCAGTCTAAACTAACCACTGAGTGGATGACGTTAAGCAGCATTAGAAAATATAACTCATATTTTGCGGTTATCTTTTATTAGTCTGTGTCAGTCAGTCTGGAAACTGGTTGGAAAACTTTAGTTATAACTTGAACTAGAATTACCTGGACGAAACTAAACCAGACAGACACAAGTTCTTGTCCTTGAGCAAGGCATTTAATGTCCTTGTCAATCTAGGAGACTACAGATTTTCAAGCAGCTAGTTACTGCCCCAGTGCATATTATTGTTATTAAATTCTGTTAAGTTGCTCGGGTGAAAGTCATTTGTTCTCTGAAATGAGATCAGGCACATACAGCATAGGCTTGACAGCCCAGCACATACACACACAAACATAATCACCTGGGATGTGGTACTGCTCCTTGGCTGTCATGAAAAAGAAAGAGAAACAAAACCATGTCAGTCAAAAGGTTTGAAAGCTGCAAAGAGACACACACACACACACACACACACACACACACACACACACAGAGGCACTCCTGGAGAAGGTCTTGTGTAAAACTGAGCGCAGTAAAATTTAACATTTTTAAACATGAAAGAAGGCGTGAAACGATCCGTCTCCAGATTGATGTTTTGCTGTTTTATGGAAGCGATGTGTCAGCCTGCGTGCAGCCTTCCAGGCCTGGCAGCAAGACTAAAGCGGCGTGGAACAGTTTATGTGGTGATCAGAGAGCCTGCCATGGTCTCACTGGCCAGGGGCTGGCTCCACACACTGGCACGGTATGGGTGAAGGAAATGGCCAGGAGCTTTTAGTCACAGGCATTCAGTTACAGTCGGTCAGATTAACTCGCTTCATTCTCATCTTGTTGTTACCCACGCTGCCACACTTTATAACTAATACTTTGTAAACACTACTTTTTTCTTTCAGTTTTTTGTGCCTGACACGTCACACACTGTCCCTTTCATCAGTGCAGCTGGGTCTCAATGTTTTACTAAACTAGCTGTTTAACACAATTTCATATTTGTTTTGTCATTTTTGAGAGAAACTTTGTATTTCTCTAACATAACATAAAGAAGCTCTACGTGTTTATTCTAAAAGTCACTGATTCTTTGCTGCCATTGTGCCGTCCGAGGCTGCACTTTATTTCACAAGAGTTAAAGTCTAAAATCTGCCAGTGAACCCTAGAGGCCGCAATGATTCCTTCACCCCACAACTCAAGGTTATCATGCAAAATTAACAACTTACAGATGATGTTTCTGTTCTTAGGAAACAAACAGTACACATTATTATTATTGTAAAGCTACGCAAAACAAATTTGCAATGCAAATTTTTGAGATGCAAGAGAAAAAACTTTTTCCACAGGTCGTCTCCCTCCAGTGGTTCTGATGCTTCCATGTTGTGAGGTTCCAGGCATCACTATATATTGTTTTGCTTCATTCATTCTCTGAAACCACTTATTCTCTTGATGGTCACAAGGGGCTGGAGCTTATGCCAGCTGACATTGGGCGAGAGGCGGGGTACACCCTGGACAGGTGCAGACTATCACAGGGCTGACACATAGAGACAGACAATCATTCATGCTCCCATTACACCTAAAGGCACCAATTAACCTGCATGTCTTTGGACTGTGGGAGGAAGCTGGAGCACCTGGAGAAAACCCACATGCTGCCACACTGCATCACGTGGCGCCGATTTGTTTGTTATTGTTTTACTTGTTTCTTTTATTTTCATTGTGTATATCTGAAGGTAGTCTCGCCACCAGACAATCAGAGATCTCTGCCTTCTGATAGTCTGGGGACACTCCTTTCTAAAGTGTGTTTAACACACCGGCGGAAACGGCCAGCAACAAAGCAACGCCTCTTGCATTTTTGAAAAGGACACGCCTTCTCGGAAATGTGCGCCCCTCCTTTTCTCGTCCGCAAGGAAACAAACACACAGAGAGCTTGAAAATGGATGCCGAGAGATTAAACTCCGTTTTATCAAACGTGTGCTCATCCGTGAAGAAAATATTTTTTGTTTCTTTTAGTTGGCGAGAATGTGTCGCCGCAAACGCGACAAACATCCACTAACTTTGACGGAGTTTTCTGCGAGCGCGACTTGAGCCATTTTGTACCGCTACACGTGTTTCTAGTCGGACTATGTTTACGAGCACAAGAGTTCAGTGAGCCACCAAAGGACCGCCCTGCAGATTTACTATTGGTTCTGCAATGTAGGGAGTTTTTTTAAACTCTGAAATTGTATCCGCCCATCTAAACACAAAATCAGGGAGAAAGTCAGCAGTCTTTAGTTAAGCAAAGCGTCTAAAGACTGACTTGTGAGTCTAATCTGAAGGCAACAGTACAAAATGTTTAAAGTAAAAATGGTAGGTGCCATAAGCTGAGGCTTCAACCGACAACTTTTCGGTCAGCAAAACTTGCTTTGGTTTGTCATAGCTTCAAAAATAAGAACTTATTACTGTTATCTAATTATTTTCTTGTGTGTTTTTGAGTTGTAAATGAGTAAAATAAATCTGTTCGATTTCATCATAGCCAGAAACAACATGCACTTGTAGTTGGAGCACCATGGATATGAGTTTGAGTCAGAGTCTAATAGCAGTTCTCTCCAGCTGCAACAATCTTGGGTTTAGTGACTTTGACTCAACTGCTTTATGATGTTTTGTATCAAAGAAAAGAGACAAGAGACAACAAGTCTTGTTGGTTCAATTTTTTGTGGACAAAACTTTTTGCAACAGTGTGGATTTTGTACTGTGAACAGAGAAGTGACTGTGTGTGTCATGAGCTAATATATATGCTAACAGGCCATGTTTATAAAAAGACTTTTGGAAGATAATAATTTGCATTTCTTCACACAGAGTGTGTTTACACTTGAGTTGAGGGAGGCTTTGCTGTGGCTCATCATCTTACAGTCAGAAACCCAGACTGTCACTACATGTCTCAATTCACACTCCTGTCTTTTTTCTTTTTTCTTCTTATCTCCCATACACACCCACCCATCCACCCACAAACACATACACACACCCACACACCCACCCATCCACACACACACGTACACACACATACAAATATCACACAGGCACTGACCGGAGCAGCGGAACTTGCTGCTCTTGATCTGTGCGATGCGCTTGTTGGCGAGGCGGCGAGGGCTGGCGCAGCGCGCTCCGCTGGTCTCTATGGGGTTTGAACGCAGGAAGTCGGCCAGCCACTTCACATTACAGTCACACACGAAGGGGTTCTGGGCCAGGTGGCTGATGGGAAATCACAGGGGGCAAGACATCAGTCAGATCAGACTGAATGGAGTGGAACAGAACAGAACTTAAAATAGCTTGTGTGTGTGTGTTTGTTTTCTCACAGTGTCTGGATGCTGTGCAGTGAGCTGAAGGTGCCTTTTGCCAGACTCTGGATTTTGTTATCATACAGCGACAGCAGAGCCAAGTTCTCCAGATCTTTGAACACTGATGCTCTGATGCAGTGGATCTTGTTGGCATTCAGCAACCTGACAAACAAAAGAGAACATCAGCATTATCAGGGTTCCTACAGCTTATGGCGTGTTAGATTTAAGACTTTTTAATGTCACTCAGGATGACATGTAAGACCAGAAAAAACATGATCCTACATCCATTACTTAGGGATGGAACAATTTTGACCAAATGTTTATTTTAACATAAAATATGACTTGTTTGTCGCGTGGTGGAGACGAGAACAGAACTGAGAGATACCTCACGTTTGTTGCTAAGTTTTCTTGGTGATTTTGTGTTTCTCACTCTGCCTCAATTCCCATCCTGCCGAATTTGACAAACATTATGCGTAAAATACACCCAGCCACCTCATAGGTACTGGCATGTATCGTTTACAGCAGTGCCACAAAATCTTGGTTAATAGCCAATTTCTTTTTAATTTTCACTTCCCCATACTGTCCATGGTACAGTGACGCCTAGCTAGCAGACATCGGATCCTCTGCTCTGAGCAGCCCGACCAGAAACAAAATATGAGTGTTGTTTGCTCTGAGCTGCCTGATGTTAATCCATATATATACATATATATACATACATATGTGGCCAAGTATTTGAGGTCTGACAGTGCAATGTCAGAAAAAAAACTAATTCATAAAATCCTACTTCAAATGACTTCTGGGAGATTGATTTAAGAATTAGAATAAATTAGAGTATTAGAGTATTCGAGTACTCATTTGGATGTCAGTATTTGTTCTATCAGTACTCGCCAATGCCCCTTCCACATGTAAACATTAATTTTATATAGAGATTTTTTTCTAATTAAAATGTGCATATTAACTTTGCTCGGCACCTCCTCGCCCACTGTCGCTCCCTCTATTGCTCTCTGTTTATCATGAGCAGCATGAAAGCTCCGCACCAGGGAAAAGTTGGCAGGAGTCTGCCTGCACATATAGACACAGTGACGAGGCTAACTGTTAGCGTTACACGGCTAAAATTACCCATCTGTTAATAATAACATAGTCAAGCTTTTTCGGCTTTATCAGTGTTGGATGTTAGCCGCTGCTGCTGTGTTAGCTCGTGCAGAAGGAGAGTGGCTTGGAGACAGTCCGTCAGCGCTGTGTCTAACCTGCATAACGTTAACGGCAGCAACGGAAAGTTTGCTAATTTTTCTCATGTTAACTTGGGATTTATGGTGTAATAGACTAACTGAAGCCCGGTTGTTCAATTAATGAATTTCAAATTGCACTTTTTTTCCGTTGTTGGCCAGTGGCATCCCTTTAGACTTTTTTTAATAAACTTTAATAATTTAATGCGAGTACGTGAATATAGAAGTCACTTAAAATGACCATCCCTAATTTTAATACCAACAACGACCTTATTTTTAGATGTTTTAAGTCTTTTTTAAAGACTTTTATTAAAAGTTTTTTTAATGATGCAGAACAACCACCGAAAGCTCAAAGCTCAACAGTAAAGTGAAATAAGTGTGTGGAAATCTTTTTCTACCAGTTAAGACTTTCTTTTAAATGACTTTTTAAGTTTTTGCTGTTGTGAAAGATGGCCCTTAAATTTTTCTCACGTAAATTTCAAATTTACGGTGTAGTAGGCAAATTGAAGCCTTTTAGTAATAATTATTCCATAATAATCTAATATGAGTACTTGAATACAGAAGTTACTTAAAATGCCCATCCCTAATTTTATACTAATTAAGGTCTAATTTTTAGATTAATGTTTTAAAACTTTTTCGGATCCACAGGAACTTTGATAATGAACTCGATGACATCTCACAAGCCTGGTTTTTGTAAAAAGATTTAAATCCGGAAAAAAAATCAACTTAAATATGACCAGATTCTGATCAATCAACAGTCTGTTTAGTTGCTGACATAAAGCAGTTTTTCAGAAAACTCCCAAACCTTGTCAACAGCTACCTACTGTACAGTAAGTACATGGCTGTCTGCCAGAATGATTTTTAAATCAACCATTCTGAGACACATTCAGAAACTTTCAAATTCTTCACAGTAGTTTGAATTTCTGCAGCTGTGTCATGAAGCTCTTTCATCCTAACACAATCATTACAACTGTAGCTTCAGCATGTGGAATGCATTGTGTGGTGCATAAGAAGATGGCGGTGTTATCAAAAAAGTAACATCATAGCGTGTTATGAGAAACAGATTTACATCAGCTTGACTTGGCAAAAAACTACACGAGGAGACATTACTTTCCATCCAACGATCCAACAAATTATGGGCACTCTCAGGCTGTTTGACACCTGAAATTCATTTGCGTAAAACACAGTCGGTGTAAATGTCAGCTCAGACAAATATATGCATGTTGTGGTTTGGACTTACAGCAGCTCCAGAGAGGCCAGGCCATCAAACACTCCGCCGGGCAGCTCGGTGATCTTATTACCATACAGAACTCTGCACACAAAGATGGTTTTGTTTTTTCTTATGAATTCATACATATTCAATCAGTGTGTTACCACTTACTACCATGTTTTATCATCAATTTGCATCATCATAAACAACGGAAGACTTTTATTCCATTGGTTAAACGTTTAGATGGCTTCACACTCCAAAGCAGCCCAAACAAAAACACATTCACACACAGCCACAACAGAATACATTAATGCCAGACACATACAGCACAGGCATACGTACACACACTTACATATATACACATAGACCCACAGGCCACCTGCTGTGATTATGTGTAAGTCCTGATGTTTCAGAAAGAATCTCTGTTTACAGAGAGCAGGCGCCACTTTTGAATTATTCATACTGACAGACACACAAACACACGCATGCGGTGCAGACATATGGTGGTATAGACAGGCATAATACAGACATATGTAAACACATATTGGTAGAGGCACTCTCATAACACTTCAACAGTTTATTCACACACACACCGTGACACTGTGTGTGTTACTCACAGGGAGTTGAGAGCTCGGAGGCCATGGAAAGCATCAGGAGCGATCTCAGATATCTGGTTGTTACTCAGGTCTCTGGGAATGAAACAGGTAACACACACACACACACACAGACTTTAGTCAAAGCAGCCAAAAAAACAGTCCGCTTCATCTTTGTTTTGATGTGAAAGTAGAGACTGTTGTCGCATCTCTCTGTAACCCATCACAGCAAGGATCTTTGTCATCCTTGATTGCAACTTCACCTTAAATAAACAAATTAAATCAGTTGTTCTTTCTTGTTTATATCAGCTCAGGAACATGTCAAAGATTAGATCATTACAAAAACTATGGAAACCATTATTCATGAATTCATTATTTCCTGTCTTGTCTACAAAAAGAATCTCTTTCCTGTTTTGATTAAAATTCTGCTGCTGGGGTTGTGACTTGACCTACAAAATAATCCTTGTATGCCAAGACTGGCTTCCCTTTGCTTTTAGAATTATTCTTAAAGAGTTATCAACAACTTTTACTGAGTTGTGAACACCTTATATTCCTCCTTGCTCCATATTATCTGCTGATACTTTACTGCTAGTTGTTCCAACTTGGAGATTTGGTCACAAGACTCTGGACTCCTACAGTCTGAAACTTCCTGCCTGTGGACATCAAGGCAGCGAGAGCCGAATTCTCTTTTAAATAACTCACTTTTTTAGCTTTTAAGTGAGTATTTTCCTAACTTGCTTATAACTGGTTGTTTTCATCTCTGTGTTTGTGATTATTTTATTATTTGAAATGTATTTACTTCAATCTTAATGTTTTAGAGCTTTGTTTAAACCTGTGTGCGTTGTTGTAAGTGTCATAATAAATAAAGTGAAATGTTATTGAGGGATTAAAGGAATACATCACAAACAAAGTGATTATTTGTTTATCAATTACTTGTATTACCTTGAATTTATAAAAAAAAAAAAACAATCTATTTCTGGCACACCTCCACAGTGAACAGACAGTCCAAAAAAATTGCATGAATTATAGATATGGACCATGTTCAACTAGAGCAGAACTTTATCAAAACATTTGTTGACTAAATCTATCCTTCCATCCATTTTCACCTGCTTATCCAGGGTCAGGTCATGGGGGCAGCCGGCTGAGCAAAGTACTCAAGATGTCCCTCTCCCCAGCAACACTTTCCAGTTGCTCCTGGGGAATCATGAGGCATTCCCAGGCCAGATGAGATATATAATCCTTACAGCATGTTCTATGTCTGCCTTAAAGCCTTCTACCAGTTGGACGTGCCCAGAAAACCTCTGACCAGAGGCGCTAAGGAGGCATCCGAATCAGATGCGCGAACCATCTCAACTGACCACTTTTGATGTGAAAGAGCAGGAGCTCTACTCTGAGCTAAAACATTCCAATTCAAAACACACTAGTACAAACAGTGTTGTGCACAGTTGAGTAGCAGGCCTGTGTACCCGCACGCATTTGTACTCTGCTCAAAAGGAGTTCAAATGCACGCGAGGCGCCCTCAGGGCGTGCTACTCGTAGGCGGAGGTGTTTTGAATAGTAATGTTTTAGCAAAAATGCATGTGTTTGGGAAGTATTGAGCACACGATCAGATAAATGAGACTTGGATTATAAAGCAAGAGTTGTTTGTAAATGTAAATTGTAAATCATTTTGATACAGTTTTGCTGTTGTGAAACATGGCCTTTAAAGGGAAATTTCGTTTTATTTCAACCTGTCTCCTGTCGTCCTAAATTTGTTTCAAGTGACTAGTGACATAAAAATAATAGTTAGCATGTTAGCCATTAGCCTAGATACTCGCGAGATTTCGGCCGCACTTTGGAAAGCAGAGCTAAATGGTAAACAAATATGGCAGCACACCGGTAAGGTAAGACAACACGTTTACATGTCGTTTTCTATATGTTCTCTGACATTTATCCTAACGATATGAGGCGGTCTTTGTGGAAAATAAGCTTGTTTAGTGGACTAACTTTGCACTTGAAGGTTGCCCGTTCACTTACGTTTTAACAGGTCTGACGCTACTATGCGCCCCGGCTGTATCTAGGCTAATGGCTAACATGCTAACTATTATTTTTATGTCACTAGTCACTTGAAACAAATTTAGGACGATAGGAGACAGGTTGAAATAAACCGAAATTTCCCTTTGATTACTTAAATTCCTGAAGAATGTTTCACCTTTTTCGGATTCTCCATTTCACATGGGGTGCATGTGAGAAAAGCAAAGTTTCACAGATTCAAGGTAACACACAGTGAGTAACTGACTTATAAATGGTCATCTTGCAGGTACAGTATTCCTTTAGCAGATGAGAAAGTGTTTAATAGTGCATTTGTTTTCTTCATGTGATACATGCTGGGGTCAAACATACATGAATGGTTTTATTGTTCATTTTTCTAATCCCCAAATCAAATCAAATCAAAACCATTTATAAAACTGAGAAACCCCACTGTATGTGAAAGGCTGGCTCTCAGAGAGCGAGTGCAGTTCTGCTTAAGTTTTTAAATCTCTGATTTAGTCTGGCCGAGCCAAACCACAGCATGTCAGATTATAAAATCCTTGTTCTGCTGCCACATGTCAGTCGCTCAACTGTCACAATAAATTTTAAGACAAACCACTTAAACCAGCCTGGTAATGTAATCAACCCCCGTCTAGGCTTGGGACAGTCTCACAGTGATGATGTAAGGGGGGGGGGGATTGAGAGGAAAAGGAAAACCACACAGAGACAAAGATGGAGAGAGAGAATGTCTGAGGATGGAAATGGACAGAGGAAGAGAGAGAGAGAAGGAAGCAGTGAGAGTGAACAGAATAAAGCCACAAAGAAAGAGGAGAAATCTAAAATAGGGTACAAAGCTAGGAACATTATTATTGTGGTCAGATGAGTATTTTAAACACATTCACCAGATCACAATGATATACGTCTCATTCGTAATGCAAGACCCTAAAACGGCCTCTGATGGGGACTGCATCTCTTTGCAGGCTGACATGAATCAAGTGCTCCTCCATGCTGAAAATCCACTGGGGCTGTTTGTTATGTCGAGCAGGAAAACCACAGCTCGGTGAACAGTGGAGACAGAGGAAGGAGAGAGCGATCCAGTTGGCAGATCAGAGTTTAAAACACTGACATTTTCCCAGAGGCACTGGCCCTCTGGAGGAAGACATACTGTGATCGCATTGGTTGAGTTGAAACTTAAGGGGTGGAGCTATAAAACCACAGCTTCTCTGGCTACATGGTGTTAGTCTAGCTGACTTTCAGCCTAGCTCCTGTAAAGAAAAATGTATATTTAATCACTTCATGTCATAATAATCATAATTATACTGCAAATCATGGAAGTTAAGGGAAATATTTTAGTGCTGATGCTTAACTTCTTGAGCAAAAAAAACCCAACCTCACTATTACAACATGAAAGACTTTAAATCAAGTCATAAATAAATATATCTTCGTTTGAAAAATTAACTCTTAATTTTAGAGTATTCACAAGTCACTAAATCTGTATAGCTTGGTTTTAAAAAGTGGCCGTCAACATCTGAGGTGGACCTGAGAAAACCAGAAACTCTACACATCTTCCATTCTTCCATCGCAGACTGAAAACTCATTTGCTCAGACTGCACCTTGGCACATTTAAAGAATAAAAATAAAAATGTCTCTGTCTGTTATTGTCTTTAAATGTTAAACTTAAAGGTCCAGTGTGTAAGATTGGGGAGATTTAATGACATCTAGTGGTGAGGGTGGCAGATTGCAACAAGCTGAAACTTCTCCTGATTAGAATTCCTTCAGCGTTCATAATTCAGGAGGTTTTTGCAGAGAGCTGAAATTATCCACAGAGTTCTCTTCCTCTCCAAAACAAACAGACCAAGTGATTAAAAATGGTCAAAACACTGTATAACGCATTTTCACGTTACAAATCAGTGTTTCTCTGAAGCTGTTTCGCATGTCGGAGACCCGCAATGAACCCAGCACCTGCTGATGTCTGCTGACCTTTTCTCTGCACTTAAGATCCAGACGTTCAGGAGGTTTTTTACCAGAGGGGTATTCCAGGTAGAAGGCTCAACAAACTCCGAGTCTAATCCTGAACTCTGAGTTGACTTACCCTGAGCTGGGAAACTCATAGCCGGTTCCAGAGCAGCTGATTTGAATTAGTTCAATCAACTCTGAGTAGGTACACCTTGAGTTAAGCGCGTGCACAACCACAATAAAAAGCCATCATCATTGGATCCCCGATACCTTGTTTCACCATGGCAACTGGATAGAAAAAGTGATCAACTTATTTTACACCTGTGGAATTGGAGGTGCTCATGAATGCCTACAGCGAATATGAGCATATATTTCGTAAAAAAAGTAACACCGCTAAAGCTGCCAAGGAGAGAGAGGCGGCATGTGAAACTTAGCAAGCAGAATTATCTATGATGGGAGGTTGGTGGCTTAGTGGATAGAGCAGGCGTCCCATACATATGGCTTACGCAGCGGCCCGGGTTCAACTCTGGCCTGTGGCACCTTGCTGCATGTCACTCCCTTTGTCTCTCTCCCCCTTTCCCGCTTAACTGTCCTGTTAATTTAAGGCAAAATGCCACCCTCAAAAAATATTAAAAAAGAATCCTTGCTAATTTCCGCAGCTATTTTAAGCACATATAGACGGTTGATGACTTATTTGAAATCTGAATCCTTTAAAAACTATCATACCCAAGAACTGAACCCACTTTCTGGAATACCCCGCAGGAGCTGAATAATCCACAGAGGTCTCCTTCTCTCCAAAATAAACAAACCAGGTGATTAAAAGCGCTGTATGTAAGAATGTGGCCAAAACGGTTACTGCACTCAAATTCAAAATACTGCCTCGAGTCTTGTCTGCCCCCCCTCCCCTACATATTCGAGGTTGCTGTACAGCTGCATTCTGGAGACTGATTTGTTTGCCCACGGGCGGCTGCCGTGGCAGGGCCGCGTCGCTGCGTCCTTGATCTTCGGTTTTTCAGCGTACCGTTTGAGCAAGTCCGGCTTCTCTGCTGCTAACGCTGCTGCCGGGATACAGCTGAGGAGGAGCCGGCTGCTAATGCTATGTACCGGGACACTGCTAATGCTGCTTGCTGTGCTGCTGTAGCTCAGTCGTAAACTGTAACTGATGCTGAGACTCTACTGACTGTGTGACTGGTAGACGGCTGGCGCAACAGGCCAAAACACAAATTCAAAACATAAACATGATTTGTGGACTATAAAAATGTTTTTTAAATGCGAATATTCTGGCTGTACTATTGCTGTCCGTGAGATCAGTATGTTATATTAACATTATTCCTGAGTCTCTGTGACATATTAGAAGGATTTTACGACTATTTGCTTTAGATTTCTTACATATAGCTCCTTAAAAACCAGTAAAAGCACTGAATAAAACAGTGTCGTGATAAAAATCAGTGTTTTTCAGACACTATTCGTTGCGGTGGCGCTTCCCACCGTGGCTGATGTGGAAATGCAAACACACAAATGGCACTTTGGCAAACTCTGAGGACGAGGATCTGCTCCCTATGTAGATATAACCAGCCCATTCTAAGGTAACAAAAACACAATCATGCTTTTTTTCAGATGATTATTCACTAAAGAAAACATACTTTTAATATTCAATTCTGCCAATATATCCCCCTAAATCCTACACACTGGATCAAAGTAGTTGAGCATATTTGATAAAACTGATGTACTTGCATGATTCATGCAATTTTTGTTGCTGAGTTCTATAGGGATGATGTTTATTGGCAAGCCAACCCAGAAGTTAGCGTTGCCCTCAAAAAGCCAGTGGGATTTTTCCATTGGATTTTGGGTTACTGCAGAAAATAAGTTGCAAACAAAAGTTTACGATACTTACGTGTTTTGTTCAGCAAGATAATCCTCACAAATGGACGCCACAGTCATGATTTTTTAAGCGGAAATGCAATTGCCAAAAGTTAAAAGCTAACATTTGGCTATACATAAATGACCTCACGTACACAACGAGGCTGTAAAACCGTGTTCAACGTGATGAGGTTCTGTAGTGTCATTTAGCCACTCGTTAACCTTTTTCACGAAAGGCTTCAAAATTTACAAGTGTGGTATTTACTGACATATTTTATGTTGTAGAACTAAATGTGAAAATCTCTAAAGCTTATGTTAACAACAAATCTGATTTTTGGCATCTAACAAAACAAAAAAAAACACTGATTGTTAGTCACTATGGATAAAAGGTTGAGCTAAATAAATGTATTGCAAGTTTTCACAGACTAATTAAGTCTGCAGAATCTGATTAAAAAATTAAATTTCCAAACTGAGGACTTCTCATGACTGGTTTTCGCTGCCCACTTCTGGAGGCAGCAGACTATGCAAGGGAGCCCACGTGTCATTCTCTCCAGCGCCTTTTTCTGAGGCCTTCCCAGGCCAGATGTGATGTACCGTACATACATGCCCTTCTGTGTGTTCTCACTCTGGGTCTCCTCCCAGTTAACCTCATCTGGCTAAGGGTTCACTCACTGCTGCCTTACATTAACAGGCCAAAGATGGGAAAAAAATCAGTGATATTCATCCAAAAAAGGTTATTGAACCCAAACTGCTATTTATCAGTGAGTTTGTTTTCAGAAGACTCACATTCGACGAAGCTTCTTGTAGGAGGTGAAGGCGCCCGGAGGAACAGACTTGATGCCATTCTGCTCCAATCGACTAGAGGGGCAGCGAGAGAAGCAAAGAGAGAAAGAGTGAGACAGACATTAATAATTTGCCTCCTGTAGGTTGTTATACACCACAGCATGGCTGCCAGCTGGATGTTACTTCCATCATCTGGACTGTCTGTAGTTTCCATTCAAAGTCCTCAGACATTTGTCCACATGCAGCATTAATTCAAGACACATTACTTAATATAGCATGATGATATTTTTTTAACAAGCTGCTGCAGATCAGCAATGTTGCAAATTCTGAGGAGCAATTATTGGGACAGTGTCACTGCTTCAAATGTGATTTTTTATTTATCCCAGGAAGATGCCCAGACCATTCTATACTCATGATTACTTGTCAGTTCAGTGCTAAAGGACATAAAGCTCATTCTACTTGTAAGTTGTCTCAGTTGAATGTAAACTTGGGATACTCACATCTCCGTCATGGCCTCAGGGAGGTGGGCAGGGATGGCAGTAAGGCCCCTCCCTCGACAGTCCACGATGTTGTTGCTGCAGGAACACATGGGAGGACAGGAGCCCGATGCCAGGCTGCACGGCTGAACGAAGGCACTGCCGCCGTGCCCTGTGAACAAACAAGTAAAACTAACTTTGACTCCCTCACCCACAAGTGAACCTCAGTGTGTTGTTGTCACTGGGCTGCCGTACCTGAGCAGGCGAAATCGCTCTTGCGCAGCTCGGCGAGGTTGAGGCCCCTCAGCGTGGGAGGAGAGCTGCACTGAGTGTAGAGGCCTAAAGCCGCCCGCTGCCGCAGCCATGGAGACAACCAGGCCAGGTGACAGTCACAGCGTAGAGAGTTAGAGTGGAGACGACTGGGAGGGAAGATCAGGGGAGGAAGTGCGAGGGAGGGAGGGAAAGAGGACAGGTGGGAGTGAAGGAGGGAGGAAAAAGTGAAAAAGGGAGGAAAGGAATGATGTGAAAGGACAGAAGGCAGAGAATGGGAACATATGGGGAAGGAGGGAAGAGTGCGACGAAAAGAAAGGAGGAAATTGAAAGGGGAAGGAAAGCAAGGTAAGAAAGAAGGGAACAAATAAAGAAGGAGGGTGTAAAAAGAAGCCAAAGAAGAGACGGAATATGTAAAAGGAGTGGATCGGTGGGAGAAAATAACAAGGTGGGGAAGTATTGAGAAAGGAAATTAACCACAATATACAGAGAAAGGAGAAATAAAAGAATGAAATAAAGAAGGAGAGATGAAAAAAATAAGAAACAAGTACTGGTAAGTATCTGTCTGTGCTGTCACTGTGGTTCTGTTTCCAGAGTGAACAATGTGGCATTCTGGGTAACGTAGTGCATTGAAATGAAGGACTCACAAGGTGCGGAGCTTCGGCATGTGGTTGAAACTGGAGACTGGAATAGTACTGATGTTGTTGTTGTTCAGCGTTCTGGGAGAAAGAGAGATATGGAGATAGAGAAAAAGGGAGCGAGGGAGGAAAAGAAAGAAACAGTCAAATGGAAGAGAGGAATAAAAATAACAGGAAGCAGAGAGTGGTGGGAGAAATCATAATCGAGTAGAAAGGAGAAAGAAAGAGAGAGACATGAAGAAAGTGGGGACAAAAAGGCAAAACATGAACAAATAGTCACACCGGGAAAAGAAATAGATAAAAGAAGAGATATAATGAGAAGAAGTGAGAGACATGCCAAACAATCTGTATTTGAAAGACTCCATGCTTTAAGTTTTACTCACAGTACTTCCAGAGATCGCAGAGCTCTGAACGCCCCCTCCTCGATACAGCTGATGTGGTTTTTATCCAGCTGACTGGTAATTAAAGGAACACAACACCAGAATGATATTTAGTCAGTCAGTTAAGCCGACCAAGTAATCAATCCACTGATCAATCTTTTGCAGGTTACTTGACGGGGACCTTCATGAATTATGCTTTCCCTTATTTAGTGTCTTAAAGGAAATGGCCACCTTAGAATGAAAATACAGACAGTACTTACTGACCCTCATGCCAACGACAAATGAAACGAGACTCTAGCACCATCACTAGCCATCAGCTAGTCTCACGCAAGTTGCCATGTACACACATTTCCTTTAATATATAGTGTCACAATGAAGATGTTCATATTAAGTGTGATGTGAAATGTGGTTTTAAATAATGAGGTAAAGATATGTAGAAGCAATCCCTGTGAGCAAAAACATCAGGCTTCAGATCGTTCTGAAAACTCTGTTTGAAACAGTTGTTGCTACTGGATGACATATACATTTCGTAATGAGTGGATCCTCAAGCGTTTAAAAAAATATATTAGTTTCAACTGAACTGGAGGGAAAAAAAAGCGTTGCAGAAAGTCGTTTCTGTGGGCTACGGCAACACTAAACCCCTGAGCTTGCCTGAGAAGGACTGAATGCGCAAACCTGCTATTTTTAAATATCTCATTGAGACAGACTCTCACTGCAGCCTGTTACATTTTGTTCCAGACATGGGGGAAAGTTACACACACAGTTACCTTCAAGTCTCAAACAAGTCCCAAGTTAGTTGCAGTGAGAATCAAGCAAGTCAAGTCAAGTTCCTGCTATAAGTCAAGCAAGTCAAGTCGAGTCATTGCTCAGGTCAAGCAAGTCACAAGTCATGTCATATGTCACATACAGCAAACATCTCCTCACGATCCACTAGCTTCATGTCCTCTGAATATGCTGTGAAAATGTCCGGTGTCTGTAGGAAGCCCAGGCTCCTCAAATGGCAACAAAAACATTTGGGTCCAGGCTGCACCAACCAGCCAGCATGAGACCAGTGAAAGCAGGCACACACACATATGAACGCGGTGCCCATGTCTTACGGTCTCACACAAGTGCACACACGTGAATGCAGTGCACAGAGAGGCAGTTAGAGCTACAGGCTACAGTGAGGCTAAAAACAGAGTTCAAATGACCTTTTTTTCAAACAACTTTTTATGTCGGGGCTTCAGGACACTTGGATCTCTACAGACGAGCAGTATGGAGATATTTTGTGGTTTCAATTATGTGTTTTTGGACGTTTGAATCTGGGGCGCCGTAAGCCTGCATTAGGTGGAGTTGTGTTGCTACCTCCTCTCCCCTTGGATCTCCGCAAGTGATGTGAGGACTCTAAAACTTCACCTGAGCCTCCCTTGGCATATGGGTGAGTAGATAATGGCTGAATTTTCATTGTTGGGTGCACTATCCCTTTAAGTAGTGAGTGGATATTTAAGTGTTTAAAACTATATATCAGTTTCAAAGGGATTTGGGAAAAAAAGCATTGCAGAATGTCATTCCTGTGGTTTACGGAAACACTAAACCCCTGACCTTGCGTGAGAAGGACCAAAACTAAAATGCATGGACACTGCAGCCATTACATTTTGTTCTGAAAATGTCGGTGTGCAACCGTGTTACGTTTACGATAAACAAGATGCAGACTTCTGTCTGTGTCACCGCTGATGAGGAAATACAGCGAGTGCTGGACGGAGCAATGAGTGATTTAAGAGTACTGTTTGTGGTTGAAATGCTAAACAGATGTATAGTCTAGGTACCATGTCTGAAGGGTTACTTTTGGTCCCGAAGGTACCATACCGAAAGTGTTTGGTAAAAACGTGACTCTAGTGTTTACATTATGTAGCCAACACTACCAAATGAAGCAACATGCTAACGTCAGGAAAACGTTGAATCTTGGGTGCCAATGTTGTAAATTTCTCCACGATTTCGGATCATTTCCTGCTGGAACATTTCCGGTTGTGTTAAGAAGCTTTATTGGTGGAAAGTGCTGCTATTCTCTGTTACAGCCATTCCCGGCTGCAATGATGATGCAGAGACGCCAAGATACGATAAACCTGAAGACGATAACCAATCAGAGCAGAGTGGGCTTATTCGGGATGGGGGGCTTTAAGAGACAGACGCAAAGTGTTTCAGACAGGGGGTGAAAACAGGTGTTCCTGCTCAGACAATATGAGGAAAATGAAGTGTTTTTTGTCATTAAAGCATATAAACATGTTCTAGCAGAAACCAAAAATACAAGTATGAACCTGGAAATAGGCATAATGCAGTTGGTCGTCTTTAAGTTCAAACATACTGGTGCATCTTACAATGTGCAGTCTCTCTCTATGAACTGGATATACACTGGAAGATACTGAAGATGTGAAATCTTAATCAGGCGTGTGATGTTCACAGTTCAATTGCAGTTCTATTGTTACCACTGCTTGTTTGTGTGTGCATGTGTGCATGTGTTTGTGTGTGAGTATGTCGTAGTGTATACTTTCACACACAGGTTTTTGAGGTCCGTGGCTCCTCTGAAGGCCCTCCTTGGGATGGCCTGGATGCTATTTTCACTCAGGTCCCTGGAAAACAAAGAAACAGAGAGAGAAACTTCCTGTTGAGAGACACTGAAAATACATGCTTTCTTTCATTTTACTCATGAATTCTACTTTTTTATTATTATTTATGTAATCTCATTATTCAATGGTGCGTAGGCAATATTGTGTTGTTGTTTGGCTGATGCCAGTAAAGCACACTAAAAGCCTCCATATCTTCTTCTCCATCTGTTACAGCCAGCTGACTTACTGGGAAGCAAGTACATATAAAGGAGAAGGTGAATAAACATTTAAAACAGTCTGAAAAAGAAAGACAGGTTAGACAAAACATCTAAACAGTAAATGAATTTACAGCATTGTAAAAAAATAAAAAAGCTTTAAATCATAATATCCAGTAGTGTTTCCGGCCTCTGTGCTTATAAACATTGGGTCATCCTGCAGCATCCACCCACTATCAGTCCACTAAATCTAAATTTCAGGCTGATCCGCGCCATTACCACCTAGTTTCAAACCAATCTAAGCATCAGTTCCTCTTTATCTTAATGTTGTTTTTCCCTCTAGCCCAGAGGGAACTGAGGGAGGCGTGCAGCAACCAAGACTGCCTAGAGACCAGAGAGGGTCGCACCTGCTACGACAGGCCGGCTTCATACTGACCAAAAGGAGGATGAGTAGAAAGAGATATGATGTTACAGCTAGAAAGACCGTAAGGTAAGAACGGATGAACAACAGCGACCACAATAACAGAACCAGGCTGATAAAGGCAAAACCAAAGGGATAAAACTGTGTGTGTGTGTGTGTGTGTGTGTGTGTGTGTGTCAGATAGACCACAGAAGAGGACGTACATCACTCTGCCTGCCCTGGAGGACCTCAGACACACTCCATTAACGTCAGGGTCAAACCAGAGAGCCTGACGGAGGAGGAAACACCCACTTACTGAGACATGCACTGCTGATATGATATACTGTTTGACATCCAGCCTTGAAACACTCTCTTCGTGAGAGCAGATTTAATTTACACAGCACAACATTACACTGAATGTGAGAATTACTGGTTTCTGCAGAACAGGACGGTCAAGACAAGAGACAATCAGTAAAGTAGTAGCTGTCTATATTCCATTGTAGCAGTAAGAGCTGGTGTTTTCTTCAGGGACATATAGTGGTTTACTACTGATGTGTGGTATGATGATATCTTTATCTTTTAACTGCTGTCCTTCTATTTATTAACACCATACTACAATACAGTAAGGACGCATAATATATTGTTTTTTTATTGTCATTGTGTTGTCAACTTGTGCAATAAATACATCACGAAAGACTGTGATACAGTAACAACGTATTTAATTACATCCTGTCTGTAGGCGGGTTCAACAATAAGGATTGCTTGATGGCCCAGGCCAGTAAAGAGGTACTTTGGTCCCAAACTGGCCTGTGCTCAAAAACGCGAGTGAGCAAGTGACATATGCTTTCTGCTCTACTTTTAAAGACTTCGCTCTGCTCTGTCTGTGTCTGTCTTTGCACAACAACAGACACAGGGAAGCTTTCCACTTCAAAGATGATGTGGCGGTCAATCCTAAAACAACATAGGAGTTGAAATGCAAAAGAGCTTTCAATGGGTCTTGGAGAAAAACATATGACTGGGCTGAGAATGATGGCGTTATAAGAGTAGTGTAGACAGAGACAGAGAGGATGGCGGTGAATGCCCTCAGAACAGTCAGCTGTTAGTGATCGGAGCAGAGAACAAATTAACAGTAAACTTGTCAAGTGATAGTAAATGTACTGTGGAGATTTCCTGAAGATATACATATGTACACCGATCAGCCAAGACATTAAAGGGATAGTGCACCCAAAAATGAAAATTCAGCCATTATCTACTCACCCATATGCCAAGGGAGGCTCAAGTGAAGTTTTAGAGTCCTCACATCCCTTGCGGAGATCCCAGGGGAGAGAGGGTAGCAACACAACTCCACTTAATGCAGGCTGACAACGCCCTAGATTCAAATGTCCAAAAACACATAACAGAAACCACAAAATATCTCCATACTGCTCGTCTGTAGTGATCCAAGTGTCCTGAAGCCCCGACATAAAAAGTTAGTGTACAGAGAGGCAGTCAGAGCTACAGGCTACAATGAGGCTAAAAACAGAGTTCAAATGATGTTTTTCCAAACAACTTTTTATGTCGGGGCTTCAGGACACTTGGATCACTACGGACGAGCAGTATGGAGATATTTTGTGGTTTCAATTATGTGTTTTTGGACGTTTGAATCTGGGGCGCCGTCAGCCTGCATTAGGTGGAGTTGTGTTGCTACCTCCTCTCCCCTTGGATCTCCGCAAGTGATGTGAGGACTCTAAAACTTCACCTGAGCCTCCCTTTGCATATGGGTGAGTAGACAATGGCTGAATTTTCATTTTTGGGTGCACTATCCCTTTAAAACCAGTGACAGGTGAACTGAATAACATCAATCATCTCAGTACACTGCAGTCTTCTGCCGGGAAACTTTGGATCCTGGCATTCATGTGGATGCCACTTGACATCTATGGGACATGACTCAAAACTCACACAGCTCAAAGGATCCATCGCCAATGCCCTGGTTGCAGATACCACAGCACACCCCACCATGGATCAAGGGTAGCTCTGGGGAACCAGTATGTCCCACAAATGCTCAATCAGATTGGGATTCGGGGAATTTGGAGGCCAGGTCGTCGCCTTGAGCTATTTGTCACGTTCCTCGGATCATTCATGAGCAGTTTTTGTGTTTTGGAATGGTGCATTGTTCTGCTATGGGGGGTGTACTTGGTCTGTAACAGTGTTTGGGTGGGTAGTGCGTGTCAAGTGGCATCCACATGAACTCTAGCACCCAAGGTTTCCCAGCAGAACATTGCACTGTAATGAGATGATCATTGTGATGAGATGTTATTCACTTCCTGTCAGTGGTTTAAATGTTGTGGCTGATCAGTGTGTATATACAATCGCTCTGTAAGTCTGAGTCAAGGACTGAGTACACTTTATTATCTATTTAGCTATCGCAAGAGATATCGTCATCACTATTTTTCATGAGTTTATCCCATAACACACATTTTCCTCTTATCGTGCAGCATTAAGTTTTGTTTCGGCTACAGCGCTGTCTCTGTCGAAAGATCAGCGGTAAACCAGAGGCCTCATTTCTGTGGCCAAACCAGAGGAAGTATCATGGAGAGGTCAGCGGTTAAAAGCAGCAAGACAGCTTGGAATAAAATGAAAACTTGACACTGTCTGAGGTCTGTGATGAAAGCAGAGGTATCACTGAGTCTTTGAAGCATAAAGCTCTGCAGTGTCTGAGACATGAAACAACCAGTGAAGGAGGTGTTGAGGGATATACAGAGTGACGGAAAAGTGACAGACACAATGAAAACGTGTGAGGTGGTGCATGATACAGGGCGATACAGGATGAACAAGAACATACATTAAAAGGGTAAAATAGTTAGAGAGGAGGTGGTTTATTGTCTGATCCCGGTGGAGACCCCAGAGCTGACCCAGAACACACAGTGAAGTGATTATATCCCCAGTAAATGGAGGATGGGACTGTCTGTGGTACTTTGCTTAATGCTGCCACCTAAACCCAGATGAGCAGTGAAAGTGAATTAGCAACCAGCAAATAAAGGGAAATGAAATTGAGTGGGAAGGAGAGAAAGTAAGAGACGGTATAAAGGTCAGAGAGAAAGAAGAAATACGCTGCCAACAACACAGAGGAGAGTTGGAGCAGAAGAGAGGGATTGTTATGGTGATAGAGACAAAGAGAGAAATGGAGGCTTGATGGAAAGAGACAGAGGAGAAAAGAGATGAAGTCAGTTACACAAACAGTTTTTCTGCTTCATTTCAGAGAGAGCTCAAGGCCAGTGAACCAAACTAACCCTTTTCTTTTCTGTCTGTGCCTCTCTGCTCACTTCCAGTACACTTTATATCCACTCTTAGAAAGCCCATATTGTTAAAAGGATTTTAGTTCTGTTTGTCACAAATAATGTATTCATTTGAAACACAAAGAAAGAACAAAACAGAGCTCAGCTACCAAACAGTATCGCCGATGCGACAGTCTGTAGTTTCATTGCTTCAACCTTGAAAAGCTGTGTTTCTTTAACGGGACAATGTCTGGAAGCTCTTTACAGCGTGTTTTTAAACTTTCAGTTCAGTCTGAATCTGAATCAGCAATGTAAAGTGGAGATGAAGCACTGAACAATATGACTGTGGTTCATTTGATTTTTACTTTAGGCAAAATGTGGCACCACAATCAAACTTGATATCCATCTAGATTTGCTAGCTACTAGATAGCATTTCACTTTTTTACCAACAGGGCAAAGCCATCTTTTGAAAACAACCTAGCTGTTCCTAGTTTCAGACCAAGGTCTTCTCTTATTCACCAGGAGGAGCTGCGGAGGTAGCCTTGGTAAACTTGGTATTGTAAAACATGTTTTGTTCTTTAATGATTGTTTTGTTCTCTGAAAATATGTTTTTTATGGCCAGTATATGAGATATTTTGAGAAGAGAATTGCACAGAAATACAGGAGATGACTTTTCAGCAGTAGCACCCGACAGGTGGGACGCACATTAGATCAACGAGTAAGTTAACCCTACTTGCTGTTTTGACAGAAGAGCTGGAGTTTGGGATTACTTGTATGGATACAATTGGGGGAGGAGCCATAACAAAAGTGGTGTGAAGTAAACGGAGTCAAACTTTTTGTTTATGATCTAAATTGAGACTATCATCAGATAATTTCGATGCTGAGCTAGAAGCTTTTTGTTTCCAAATTCTACTGAGAAGCCAGCAAGATCTTGGTGGTGTCTCCACGTCAAGGATAAAAGTCTGTTATGCGCACTAAGAAGAGGCTGGGCTGACAAATGCAAAACCAATCTGGCATCACTAGCAATCTAACCCGACACACACAGGGAAACGGGACAAGTTTAAGCGTTTCAAGTGTCTGTGACAGTTCTGATGGTGAGTCATACTGTTTGCTTATTTTTATGATACTTCATGATGCAGAAATTGACTTCTAGGT